CAAGTTTTATACTGACTAATCGCCAATTGAGTTGAAATTTGTCGGGTGCTTACTGTTGGATCATCACTTACTAATTCTAAAATTTGTTCTTCTAGTTCTATTTGATCGTGTGGTCTTGGAGCACCGGCATGATCTCCTCTGTGAGGTCTTAAGTCACCTGATTCACGAGCTCTTTGCACTACATTAACAAAGGCACGAGGGGTTGGTTGCACTCGATTGGGAAACCGATCCGCATAGATCCGTGATGCCGCGGCAGCATTTTGTAAATAAGAACCATGTCCACAAGTTCAGCATTTTCGTAAACATGTGCCATTTTTGATTTGAGCCTCGCAACAGACACGATTATTCACTTACGCGTTACCGACTACCGACTGATACTGACTGTATACAACTGAAGAAAATAATTGTAAAAAGATCGTTCCAAATTCTTTCGCTTTTTTGTTTCCGATGCGATGAACGGATAAGGCGGATTATATCTGTTGTTGCCAAACACGAGAACATAATATCATTATTGAGACAGGGCGGTACTCAAACTTCCAAAGGGCTATAACTTTGTTACTTTAATTTTACCAGAAAAATGGTAAAGGAAAAAAACATTTCTTTTGATCAGATCTACTCACTGTTAAAATAAATGACTCAACTTCGAAGTCACCCTGTATATATGGAAAACAACTACAAATAACTAAAAAATATAGTAATATATGCCCTAAAGGGTTACTACAAAATAAAGCTTATGAAAAGGACAACCCAAAACTGTGAAATTATATTGTTTTTTCAATTTCTTGAAAAAAGGTACATTTTGCATTCAAAAACAATCTTCATAACCATACCATACCATCAGTATTTACTGATTATTTCATCAGTGTCAATGGATTTTCACGTAAGGTTATGCATCTAAGCTGCCTACAATTTTCGTAAGCATCATTTTCAGATTTTCTTTAAAATAATGGAGTTGTCGACCGATTAAACACTCACCCTGTGTATTGACTGGAGAATGAATCCTCTTTCGAGTATTCTGTCAAGCAATAACAGGCGCTTTCCCATCCGATTTTCCGACAGAGGAAGCAGCATATTGATTTTATCACTCTCACTTGTAGGCAAAAGGGACAGATTCAGAAAGAGAACATCTGATTTCCCTTGTATTTTTAGATGGGACCAATTTAAAATTATTGAATATCTTAGCGTCAAGGACTTCGTAAGTCTTCATCGAAAAATACTGTTCGAATGGTTCGTTTTCTTTTGGAATCTGGCATTCTATAAAAGAAATAAAAACGATAACCCAATCATCAACAATATCTAAACTAGCTTTATAACATTGAAATAATAATAATATAACATATATTCTTATGATATTTCTGTGTTTCACAGATAAAAAGTTCTTCTGATGTGTTTTCAAAATGGCCAAAAAGTTCGTCCCTTGCATTTGTAACAACACAAATATGACTGACAAAAAGCAAGAAATCTAAAATTCTCGTTTTATTTTTACGTCTCGTTATATTTTATAATATGGTGAATGTGCATATAGAATATAGTCCCGCGCATTCACCAATATTAATAACACCAGAAACATGAAATGCATTTTACTTGTACCCTTTATTTTATTTTATATTATTATTATTATTATTATTATTATAAATTGATTACCTAATTCTATGTCCTGTGTAGGCAATACAACTACAGAATTATTTAATGCAATGTAGAACTTTATTTGATTTAAGTTTAGCGAGGAGATTTGAGTGGGGATGTTGAAAAAATTACGATTAATAGACTAATCGATTATATTTTTCCCTTAAAATAGATTTTTAATACATCATTTATATAAATTACCATATTTATGCAAACAGCGCCACCTGTACGAAAGATGGAAGCACCCTAAGAAAGTTCACGGTTGACTAACATGAACAAGCCGACGCCATCTTTCGTCCTAAGTTTGTTAAAAATCTGGTACACATCCTGTTGTACTCACTTTAGGCTTTATAGTAGCTGCCATATCTCAGTGTTTACAGTATAAAAGCTATAAAGCAATGCTTGATAAAATTAAAGTGTATACGTTGTTCGCCTTAGTTGAACCTTTAGAGAATAGTTGCCCTTAATTTTTCTTATCGGTTTTATTTGCGTGAGGCCGCGGTATCGCATAAAATTAATTGTGCGTATCAATCTCCAGAAACACGAAAGCATAAAGTCACACAATAGTTGATGTGGAGCTAAGCGTAACTGCTATAGGAAACAATATAGGCATTGTTCTACTGTTATTTATCTCAGTGATGTCTGCAAGCTGTAAATCTGTTCATGTTTCCCCAATCAACGAGCACATATTAGAAGAGAAGGAATTTGTGCCGTTGTACGAGGTGGGTCATTAATAAATGGCTGTATCTGGGAAACAACTGAATCAGAAACTATCAGGTAATAGATATGGACAAAAAGGCTGATGGAAATTATACTAAGTGAAATAGAAAAAAGAACACCTTGTAATAATGAATGTATTACAAACATTTTCTAGGCATATGTTTGTTTAGGTTCGGACAAAATCGACCAGCTTTTCAGTCATACGGATAAAGAGTCTTTTGTGATACCATCTGTTTTTAAAAAAAAGTAAGTAGGCGGTAGTATACGTATATTATCTGTGTGGGTAGACAAATATTAGTAATTGTCATGCACGATTTACATACCTTGTTGGAGAAGTATTGCCATAAATTATCTACGATGTCAAATGAACTATTTCATGGTAATAGTCAAGCAAGAACAGGAGCTTTTCCATCCGATTTTCCGACAGAGAAAGCAGAATATTGATTTTATCACTCTCTCTTGTAGGCAAAAGGCACAGATTCGGAAAGAGAACCTCTGATGTCCCTTGTATTTTTAGATGGGGTCCAATTCAAAATTATTGAATATCTTACCGTTAAGGACTTGTCCGTCTTTCGTACGTATTCATCGAAAAATATTCTTCGAATGGTTCGTCTTCTTTTGGGATCTGACATCTGACAATGTATAAAAAAAATAAATGCGATGATCCAGTCACCAACAATCTCTAAACTAGCTTCATAACATTTAATTTCTTACTATTTTGCAAACTAATGGATAGGCCGCGGTATCCCATAGAATTAATTGTGCGTATCAATCTCCAGAAATACGAAAGCATAAATTATCTACGATGTTAGATGTTGAATGAACTATTTCATAGTGAAGTGATACCTCAGACCGCAAAGGATCGATGATACAAAGGTATCTCTCCAACCAACGTACTTTGCTCAGCCTCCTCCGTCTACCTTTTCTCCCTCCCTTGCTTTTCTGGTATCTGGTCAACTAGCCCTAACAGACTAAAAAACCGACACAACCTTAACCAAAACCAAGGGTCCTAAGAACCACTCTGATAGTGATGAATTAGTCTGTGTCGCAGTGATACAAATAAATGTAACGGTAACCAATCTAATCTATTTGCAAAATTCATTGTTTTCTGTTGATGCTCTAATGAGCCCTAATCTACTCAGTCTTCACCTTATCGAAACAAGGGACAAAAATGTCTCCATACCCTCTGCCTCAAAGCTTAGAAATTCGCTCTGCCTTGGGGCACTTCCATTCACAGGCTTCGAGATCCCACATACTCAGGGACCCCTACATAGCTTAAAGGTCGATTTATAAACTCTAAGATTCCGCACTACTGCCGTACCGTTCGTGTAACGCAGAACGCAAACTGTTTGACAATGAAATTTTGGGTTATATTATGCGTCGCGCTGTAGCGTTAGCAGGTTTGTAAATTGATTTGAACTGCCAAGATTTATTACTTGGATAACCTGGATAACTGCAGGACATACAAAACCTAAAGTATGAGCTGACTTCACAATTAAATCAGCAAGACAAGCCTTCTGAGATGGACTAACCACTGGCCTAAGGAATCCGTCAGGTACGTGTATCTAACCGATTCGTCATTTGAGCTGTAAAAATAGTATCAATTATGAGCCCACGCTGAAAATTTAGCTACACTAAACTTAGTTATATCTGGTAGATTTGGAATCAACACCTGTTAGATACTCTCGTTGTATTATTATTATCAGTTTTCTTGAATACGAATATGAAATAATTATTTCCAGAAAAGGAAAACGATTTGTCATCTGTCACATTGACAAAGAAGATGGCTTTGTGCCCACTGCCCTACGGGCATTTGAGTCAAAGAAAACGACCGACTACCATGAAGAAATGGACAACACTTCATTTGAACGATGGTTTGAAGAAACGCTCCCAAAGCTTGACGACAATGCCATCATTGTACTTGATAATAATGCTGTATACCACGTAAAAACACTAGAAAAAATTCCCACAATGTCCACAAGAAAGGCAGAAATTCATCAATGGCTCCTATCAAAAGAAATTAGTTTCAATGAACATGGTCAAGGCAGAACTTATTCATCTAGTCAGATACCACAAATATAAATATAATCTTAATGTTATTGACGAAATGGCAAAAAACAAAATAAGATCGTTTTAAAGCTACCTTCTTATTACTGCGAATTAAATCCTACTGAAATGATTTGAGCAGCAATTGCTGACGTGAAAAATTTGTTTTATGAAGCTGTCAACAGAGTGACGGCAAACCATTGGAAAGATTGCATCCGTCACGTTCAAGAGATAATCGATACAAAGATGTGGGATCTGGATAATATGATCGATATTCAAATTGAACCTGTAATAATTAATATTAACGATTCGGACGATGACTCAAGTACTTCCAGCGAATAGAGAATTGTGAAAAGTATGTGCACCTCTTTCTATAAAAATAATCACTTGTTTTGCTACAAGACCATTGAGGAAAATACGGACCTGGACAATCTCGCTCTTGGGCATGTTGTGTTTTGTCTGGGCGTAGATGGACTACGAATGGGGTATAATAGCTAGTCGAGGTGATATCGGGCAAAAAGCGGTTATCAGTACCAATCTAATTTTCATTTCAGTTGCATTTATAGAAAACTAAAGCTTATCTACGATTTTTTATGTGTTTATTCCAGGATTTCAACATCGAAAAAGAACTGCTAACAGGCGGTGGGAGTACCAGCAGCGGCGCGATAGGCAGCAGCGGTAGCAGGCACTCAACCCCCAACTCCTCTGCTCAATCTCTGACTGCGGAACTCCTTCGTGCTCCATTGGACATCGCCCCATCTACAGGAAACAATGCGTCTGCTTCACCACCCCCACTACAGCATCAATCCAGGTCGTACCCCGGAGGACCGCCGTTGTTGTGCAGGACGCCGTCTGTATCTAGTCAGAGCAGTCTGGATAGTACTGCGTCAAAACAGGTAAAAGACTGCAAATCTCGGATACATAAAATTCCGTATTCAAAGCAATGGGAAACACTTATAGTGGAACTGAATGGCAACCTACTAAACTAATGATGATAAGAAATATCTATCGGACCTGTGTGCGGATACTCAGTTTTCGGTCAGAAGTGGAGGAGTCAAAGGTCAAAACTAGGAATTTGAGTACAAGAAAAAATAGACGATACTTTCTCAGATTTGTATTTGAAACAAGGTAATGTACTAAATGACATAGAAAATACAACACCGATTAGGATTGCTATAATTTTGAGCATACTTTTACAAGTTTTAGGTCTGCTGATAAATAGAAATTGAAATTTCAACTCGCAAAATAGCTGAGATATCCCACCATAATGTTAATAGTGCATTGCAACTGCTCTGTTCGCTTCACATTCGTTAAGTCGTCGCGGCATTGATGGATTAGATGATTGATGTCTTCTAGGTATATCCCAGGCCATCTGAATTTGGTTTAGTGAAGCCTCCAATAAAGTTTCTGGAGGGTGCGGTGAATTTTGCAACCTTCTTTCCATCATGTCCCATACTTGTTTGATGGGGAAAAGGTCTGGAGATCGAGGAGGCTTCTGAAGCAGATTTACTCCAGACGCTTCTAAAAAGTCTAAACTAACACGTGCGAAAATGGATCTTGCACTGTTTACAAAAACGAAAGCAGATTTGGTTGTAAAACTTTGTGCATATAGCGCTCGTGACCTGCTGAAGTAAGCAATGGTACCCTATACCATAACAAAGACAGAGCGATGAATATGCCTTTCAATGGAATATTGGACAATCCGTCTTTCACCACATCTCCTCCTTACTCTTGCACGGCTATCATATGTGCCCTATCGCTGTGTAGTCTGTCTTTAACGTCCACTACTCTAACTCGTCGATTTCGGCCTTCTTGGAACCACGCTCGACAACATCTCATTACAGTAGTTTCGTTTGGATTCACCCAATTAGCTATTTGTCCAAAAGAAAGGCTTCACGTTCCCTGATTATCTGACCCCTCTCAAACTCGGAAAGTTGAGTGATATTAGCGTGTCTGCGAACTCTAGGCATGATAATGCAATGAAACAACAATGGAGCCAACACAGAAAAATCACTGAATATTAGGTAAACAAGTTCATATTGTTCGGATCTTGATATGACAAAAAAGTTTTTTACAAAAAAAAGTGCGGCTCGGAATGCCTTCAACATTTCATCAGTGTATACTTCCATTATAGCAAATTTGTTTACAAGTTTTTATCAAAATTCACTAAATAATTCTGGGTGTTGCTTAGTATATTTGGACTAGTTTACATAAAAGGTGCTGTACAGGCAGGCTATGGAGATACGGGCTCCTAAAGGACGCACCCGCAGAACAAGTTGAATAACATAATACATACCATTGATTTTAACATTCTGTCTATTAGTAAAAATCTGCTTCGAGTATGTTTATCCAATATTTTGAAAATCTACCACACAGGGTCTATCAATACAAGTGACCGACACTTGCACCTGGATTTGTTATACCCATTTTACAGGCAGCAAGAGCAAGATAATGTTGATCAGATGCATTCGCACCAACAAAACAGCTGATGCTTACTGTTGTCTTCTTGCAACTATCGGAGTCTTGCATGCAAATCGATCAGTTAGATGTTTCATGCAAGTTTGTGTGGAAGTCTGGTGGAATAGTAACTTACAAGTTACCAATGCATTTGCATGCATCCCTAGTCCTGTCCGGTGGTTTGTGTAATTATATTTAATTGTTTACCGATTTTCGTTTAATTATGTTTTGATGTTGGATGGTCGGTGGTTAAAACTAGTATTCAATTATTAAAACCATGTGTACTGCAGGGTAAATTATAGGTTAGGAATACGACTGCGAATATTTCATTCGTGTAGGTTGCTGGTTTGAATCGAGGAAACAGGGCCGGCTTGCAAGTGCAAGTGATTAGATGCAATTGTCTTGCAAACAAAATAATGCCACCTTGCAACTGCAATAGCTTGCATACAATGGTCTTGCGGACTGTAAAATGGTTTTTAGAGTAAGGTTGCTATGTAGCACCAGGTATGGGTGACGAGTATTGCAAAGATCTGTGCACAGCTCCTAATTATCCTATAATAGTTAGTTAGGGTTCGCTTACAGTCCGCATGCAGAAATGAATCTTTATCCATAATTTCAATTAATTGACCCCGTATGGGAGAGAATCTTAGATCAGTATATGAAAGTACGCTTAAACCGATTTTTCACTAGTATTTTAATAGTCACCGTCAAAAATAAATAATTTTATAAGCTACTGTGACAAATAGCGCCATCTGTTGGGCGAGTCTCCTTCTCGCCAGAGCTTAATGGCCGAACTCTACTTTTACACGACCGCACAAGCCGCCTGGTGGCGTCTGTGAGGACCGTGACAGTGGTTCGCCTTCTAGATCGACGCGAAGGGATCTCCAACATTCTAGATGTCGCTTTGTGGTACACCCGGTTTTTCTGGAAGCGGTAATTGGGACTATATAATATATAACTCGGCGGCCGGGAGATGGAGGTAGAGTACTGAATACGGTAGAGTAGCAGAGTGGAGTGAAGTATAGTGCAGTCAATGGTGACATAAGAATTAGTCAGACATAAATACTGGTGCATATAAATGTTTTATCAAGTTAAATAAAGTGGTGCATTTCTTTTTGTGGGATCCAGTATTTTAATTCACACCCAAAAGAACCCAGAAAAACGCTACACTATGTTAAATGTAGGAGTTTGAAATTTTGATCGAAAACTGAGTTTATGGACCCAGGTCCCATAGGCACTTTTCATTACTGTGGTATCGACTATTGGTTTGTTAATTACCCATTCAATTCCACCGTAAAGAGTTTTCCCATTATTTTTGTGCAGGGTATCTTTGAAATAGTAGAAGTATTTTACCAGAAATGTCGCAAAAGTGAAATGACTCAATATAATTAGCTGTCGGCTCAGTGAAGCAAAGGGCAGTAAAGTTTCAGAATTCAGAAACAGATTTAAGTATATTATTATTTAAGGCGAGGCAAATGATTCTGTATAATCCTTGCTGAAATCCATCTCTCATAAAGATTCTGCTAGGAGCCTTGGACGGTCATGAGTTATGATATATAACTTAATACTCATCATTTTAAAAAAGTTTGCTAGACGCGGATTAAGTGATATTGATGATGAGCTTGAACATGGCACTTCATTCGTGAATAAAGAAGACCTAGATTTAAATGTGATCTCAAACATGCTAAAAACCAGTTTCAAGTTTCGACGGACATTTTACTTTGTTTAAGAAGGTTACTTTATTTTGGCCATAGCTCATACAAAATCTTCAAGCTCATGGAAAATACAAACTTTAGTTGGAAAATCACACTGAAATTTTGCTTAACTTGTTTATGGGGTTTTTATTACAGGGTGGAGGCAACAATAGCGGAAGCCACCGAGGCTCCTCACCAGCGATCCGAACCTTCGCCCCAGATGGGGGCCGTCAACACCCGGAAGCAGGACACGCGAGCAGTTACCCCATAGGCGGAAGTGGTGCTTGCGGGACAGGAGGCAACAGCAGATCACCGTCGCCCTTAAGGGCTGCATCGCTGGACATTAGATGTGGATCGCCTGCTACGACGGTTCTGCATGAGCTGAGGACGCCTAGCCCGTCGCAGGCCAGCTTAGCTTCGCTGACAGGTAAAGCTATTTATCAAGGACTTTGGACAATACTGCTGACTATTACCTGACAGGTGTAGCACATGCACGCACATCACTCCGACTTAGAAGACTTGACTAATGGTACATACAGTTCTTTATAAATAAATGATATAGCGTATCGATACATGCATCTAATAACATTGTTAGTGACGATTGTAAAATTTTCAGGAGAGCCATTTCAAATGTTTAGCAACTGTAGTAGTATTGTGACTTACGGCACTGGAAAGGCTATTAAAGAATGAGAAATTTCACATATGTAGAGAAAAAACATGGGGAAAACAAAAAATATGTAATTACAATATGACCAAAATTTTTATTGTATAATCATAATAAGGTGAAGTACAGTATTCTTCTTTGCTACCTGAGCAGCTTTTCCAAATTTTAAGAGCAAATACAATTACTGTTATTGATACATTTTGCCTGAAAGTTACTTACCAAAGTTTTACAGCATTGAAATACAATGTTACGATATTGGCAATGTTGGAATAATCCTAATGAATGAATACTAGGCATAACTTTTTTAATAATCTATAATCTATTATATCACTACTTACGTATAAAAAATCTAAATCTATCTTTGGATAAAAATAAGATAAATAAAGAAGGAAAATGTGAGATTTCCCAAGGATATGTATATAAATAGAAATAGAATAACTGAGACCTTGTCTACCATGAACATAAAGTAATTATACTTTTTTTCCTACCGACAAAAGCTTATTATGTGCAAGAGGAATCCCATTTTCATACGCATTTCATTTAAAATTGAAGTACTCCTTTTGCCTTTCAGCTTTGCCAGCTTGCTGGCGTACTGAAATATCCGCGTAAGTACATTGTAACTGCATTTGTGCGGTATATTTTTTTAAATTTTTTATTCACTGCAACAACATTGTAACACACCTTACACTGCGTCAGAAGTAATATCTTTTTCGTGCAAGGATGTTTTAAAGACAGGCATGTTTTAGTGTAATCGATGAGTCGTATAATACTTTACAATGCCGCTTTTAAGATTCAGTAAAACAGTAACGATCTTTACCGTTATTGTCAGATGTATGCAGTTACAATGATATTTGACCAGCAATTTTCATATTTCTACAAAAAACTGAAGACTGCAAGCTACCTCAGAGTACAAAACATTCCAGTAGAGGGATAACAGATCACATTATAGTTACAATGTAGGAAGGTTTATCTAGGAACTAACTAATTCACGTATTTTTGAACGCCCTTAGATCACTAATATCTTTGATATTATATATTTGCAAGTCTATTGAACTGCTTTAGTCGGGTGCAATTAGGACTTTTTTCAAAATTGGACAAATTATGTGCTGGAGTAGCTATTGCAGTATTATTGAGTATATTGTAGCTATCGAAATATGAATCGAGTTGAAAGTCACGTACATTTCATTTTATGATGGCCTATAGTTCTAAGGTCAATATACCATACTTTTTCAAGTGCCGTATCGTCAGTCGTTCCTTCAATTGTATGACGCTTTTATGGCCTCCTTGATTTTTATAGTTTTCTGCCGTTCCGTGTCAGCGCTCTATTTTAAGGTTATGTCACAAACATTTAACAAATATTTGTTTGCATCATGCTTTTGACTTATATCATCTGTTTTATCAGCCTAAAATTTACTACAATTCAAAAAGAAAACATAACCTCACAATAGGAGAGCGCTGACACTGACACGGAACACTAGAAATCTAGAAATACCTCAGCCTTTCTGAAGGTGAAAAAAGATTATGAAAGTCAAGGAGGCCACAAAGGCGTCCTAAATCTGTAAGGACAACTGACGCTACGGCCCTAATAGTTGCTCACATGATCTACAGGGTGTCACTCCAGCTATTATTCTCAATGTCCGTCTCTGCATGTGGCTCGATGTACCCTAAAAAATTATACCATATTCATCATAACTGATTCAGGACAGATCTGAAGAATAATAAACAGATTGCTTTCAAATAATTTGCTTTTGTGGACCTCTCTCCGAAGGCCTGCATCAACATGGATTCCTAAAAGCTAGGCGTTTGCTATATCTACCAACGACTTGTCGTCGAGTTTAACTAAGTAACTCACAAGCTCACAACCCACATGAGCGTCTGATGTAACAAGTAGCCGTTCCATTTCGTTCCAGAAACAAGTGCTCATAGCGGCCGACTTTTAGACTTAGTTTTAGCTAATTTCAATGTTGCAGTGGTCAGGAATGACTTACCACTAGTTAGGGAGGATTTGCATCATCCTGCTATAATAATCGAATTCTGTGCTGGTTACACTATGCAAGGATTTGATAATCAACAATTCAATTTTCGGCGGGCAAATTATATTGATATGTACAGCGCATTTTCAATTGCGTATTGGTCTCCAATTCGTGAAATGAATGATGTAAATGAAGCATGTGGTTATTTTTATTCAATCATAAAAGAAATTTTCGAGAACAACGTTCCTAAATATAAAATGAATCCTCGTTCATATCCTCCTTGGTTTACAAAGGAAATTATTTCAAATATAAGAAAAAAGGATAGGTTCAGGAATAACTACAAAGCAACCCATACAAGCCACTGTTATTTAAAATTCAAAGAACTTCGAGCTATGATTAAAAATCAAATTATAGTCCCCTATTCAGCTTACATTAAAAATGCTGAGGATAGGATCAATAAGGATCCCACTAATTATTGTTCATTTGTAAATGCAAAAAAGAAAAACTTTCCAGGGAAAATGACGTTTAATGAAAACACTTGTACCTCGTCACAGGACATAGTCGATGCTTTTGCAAAAAGTTTTTCAACTGTGTTTATAAATTCTGATTCTTCTAATTCCGAGTTCATGACTTCAAATCTAACTAGTATGAATATATCTCTGAACACTGTAAGTGAAGCGAATATAATTCATGCTTCCAGAAAGTTAGAGAATAAAATGAGTTCAGGCTATGATGATGTGCCTAGTTTTTTAATAAAGGATTGTATTCATGTATTGGCAAAACCGCTTTGCACGATCTACAGTATGATATTATTAACATGCTCTTATCCTCGTATCTGGAAAATAACCAAGGTCTTTAAAAGTGGCGATAGAAGTAATATTTGTAACTTGTAGGCGATACTTTGCAGTTTTGGTAAGATTTTTGAGGTTATTATTTATAATACCATTTTCAACTCTGTCAAATTGTACTTTATCTCCTAACCAACATGGTTTTGTTGCTGGCAGATCAACAGTCACAAATCTGACATGCCTGACTCAAACTATCTCTGAGGTATTAGATGACCAGGGTCAGTTGGATGTCATTTATACCGACATTCAAAAGGCCTTTGATCAGATAGATCATTACCTGCTTCTTTCTAAGCTTGAAATGATTGGGTTGTCTAAATCTTTATTGAAGTTGATCAGATCATATTTATTTGATAGAAATCTGTACGTTGAGTTTGGTGGTTTTAAATCTAATTCTTATACAGCAACATCTGGAGTGCCCCAAGGATCCAATTTGTGTACTTTGTTTTTTGTGTTGTTTATCAATGATCTGTCGCTGGAATTGCCTGGTATGCATTTACTTTATGCTGATGACTTAAAAATTTATACTGCTATTCAGAGCTATCACGACTGTATCTCTCTTCAAAACAGCTTGAACTTGGTGCATCCTTGGTGTTCCAGAAACTCTCTTACGATTAATGTATCAAAGTGTAAAGTTCTGTCTTTTAGTAGGAAGCAAAATGTAATACATTATGATTATAGTATCAATGATCACTTACTCGAAAGAACAGAAACGTTCAAAGATTTGGGTGTTGTATCACATCACTCAAATGGTGAATTCAGCGTTTAAGATGCTAGGCTTTTTTGTAAGGAATTGGTCAGGGTTTTCAAACATATCAACTCTAAAGCTTTTATATTTTACATTTATTAGAATTAAGCTGGAATACGCTTCATTAATTTAGTCTCCAATCTACAACAATTCAAGGGTTAGTATTGAATATGTGCAGCATAAGGCTTTAAAGTATATGTATCACAAATGTTATGGCAATTATCCTGAAAGAGGTTTCGACCATTCTATTTTATTAAACATTTTTGATATAGTCATTGGATCTTAGACGGACATATCAGTGCTACATCTTTTGTACAAAATCATACACAATCAAGTTGATTGCTCATTCATATTAAGTAAGCTTAATTTTCGTGTGCCTAGGTTGGGAAATCGTGCTCAAATTACTTTCTATCCGGTTATTGGTAATACTAATTTATTGTCTAGATCTCCGCTAAATATGATTTGTTCATGTTTCCATTTTGTTTGCAGTTCCTGTGACTTATTTTTTGATAGTGATAACTTTGTTCTGAAGTGCTACAGAGACTGGTACCTTTGTCAGTGAGAGTTTTTTTTTCTTTTTTTAAGTTTTTTTTGTGTTTGGCGTTACCGCTGTTGCTAATTATATAACTTTATCTTGTATGTTTTCTGTAATTGGGTGTTACCTGTTGGGAATAAATAAATAAATAAGTGCTAAAATTACTTCTTCCTTTGCAGGTTCTCCAAATTCGTCGTGCAATTCTCCAGTACCAGCGTCTCCTCGTACAGCGACTCTAAGTCGTTGTCTTTCACCACTGTTGATCCACAGCACTAGGATGGCGTCCTCGGATTCATACACGACAGCACCACCTGCAAGCCCCCTTGGAGCAATACAGCCTGATTTGTACGTTAAGAAAAACGGACCCCTTTTTATAGGTAAGTTTTCACAATGATTGGGATTGGATATACAACTACTTGCACTCGAAATCCTGTTCGAGTACTCGTAATCGAAAATGTAACATTCGAATGGTCAGACGACATAAAAAGTTACTAGAGTTGCACGAAGCTGATTAGCTGAATCCGGCTCTTCTTTTCACAGATACATACACTGATACTTTTAATCGACTTCACAAAAGCAGGCGATCTTTCAAACCTTATGAGTCATAATGCTTGCCAACACTCATCTGTCTTTTTGGTGGTGAAGCAAAAGGTCATAAAATATGTTTAAAATGTTTTTCAGTATACTTTTTTTCAAGAATCCGAATTAGGAGATGGAATGTCTTGATTTATGAAACAAAACTGATAGGAACAATAATCGTCTATATTGGAAACAAGGGCGGATTCAGGATTTCGTCTAGGGGGGGCGCAAACGATATTTGAGGCTGGTAATTTTTCTACCTCAGTGGAACTTCTAGAGTTTATCCTATTATCGCTCCTTAAATCCATTGTGTTCTATTTGTTCAATGCCAACTTGAAAAAAAATATGGAAAGTGCTCAGAAATCCTCAGAAAGGCAATATTTTATTATATATATATATATATAACTGGTGTAATAATATTAAAGATTAAAACAAAAAAGGCTTCATTGCTCTGTTAACCAAAAAAAACATTTTGAGGGACCCCGAGACATATCCCAGCCATTCCACACAAAACAATGTCTTTAAAAAATTCACATTATCGTATGGACGCTAGACGAGACAAAGAAGGATGTCTATAGACCATCTATAGATCGTGTCTTGAGACCATCTCCAGACTGCCTATAGACAAATTGCGAAACGGGGTCTACTAGTGTGTACTAAGCTTAAGGATTAATACTCTGAACTACCCGTTAAACAAATCAAGTAATTGGTGTATATACTGACACAATCAAGCACTTCTATTATATCAGCAGGTGATAAAAATATCAATATATAGTCAATTATTTTCTGAAATTCAATATAGATGTTACAGTTATTCTTCAGACTTTCGTTGTCGAACTTAGATTTACGGCATAGTTGTTGTTTACTCAGTTTCCGAATCGGTGTTGATCGCATGCAAAAATGTTGTAAATCTTTGAAAAAACTATATATGTTAGATCGTAATTATACTAAGTGACATATAAATCCGAACACCCAGTTTAAATGGTTTTATTTTAATAAAATTTTGTATAAGTACTTAATGAAGCATAATAAGTAAATGATAAAAATTTTAAAATGATTGCACTGCTTTAAAGCCCTTTGACCTTTAATAATGTGTGGATGCACCCTGATGTGCTACGCATTCTCCAACGCGCCTAGGCATGCTTCTGATTAGATGGTCAATGTCCTCCTGTGGTATCTAATTCCAGGCAACCACCAACTCCTCTCGAAGTGCTTCTAGAGTCTGAGGAGGACGTTGCATATTGAGCAATCTCCTACCCATCATATCCCACACGTGCTCAATTGGGGATAAGTCGGAAGATCTTGGTGACCATGGTAACAATGTGACATCATTATGTTGAAAGAAGTCTATTGTGACTCTTGCAACATGTGGTCGGGCATTATCTTGTTGGAAAGTTGGATCTGCCAGGGTGTCAAGATAGGGTAAAAGATGGGATTCTAGAACTTCGTGCATATAACGCTGCGCGTTCATGTTACCTCTGATGAAGATTAAAGGTGACCTGGAACCATAAGCTATAGCACCCCAAACCATAACTCCAACAGTGTGATGAACATGTCTTTTAACAAAAAACTGTGGATTCCTCCTTTCACCACGTCGCGTTCTAACCCTGGCACGACCATCGTGCATGCCTAAACAAAATCGAGACGTCGGTGTTCTCGAGTTAAAGGGAGGACCCAGTGTGGCCGGTATGAAAACAAGCCAAAACTTCTCATTCGTCGGTAAACACTTCGCATGCCAATAGGTCTTCCGTGTTCTGCAAACCATTTATTTGCAATGGACCTGGTAGTGGAGAAACGGTCCCTTAAGGCCAATAATCTTAGGCGGCGATCTTCACGGTCTGTTGTTCTACGGCGGCGTCCAGTGCCCCTTGCGTGCGGCCTTCTCGAAGCCATGCCTGACAACACCTAACCACAGTGTCTACACTTCTTTGCACTCTAACTGCAATTGCCCGAAAAGAAAGTCCAGCTTCCTGAAATCCCACTATACGGCCCCTATCAAACTCACTAAGTTGACGAAATCGTACAGGTCTCCGTACTCTAGGCATCGTAACCGATCGTAAAGGATGTCAAGAACCAAAATCCGCCAACGTTGATTCTTTACTGCGGCTGAAATATTCATTTTTAGAGCGTTAGTGGATTAAAAAAAAGCAGTATAAAAACCGGAATGTCCAACTGATAAGGCTGAAAATTTTTTCACTATTTAAACTGGGTGTTCGGATTTATATGTCACTTAGTATATTTTGATAATGTATGTTTTTACGAAACAAGAACAGGAATACATATTCACGTGTAGTGCAGAAGCTCTGTGACTTTAACGAATTTCAATATAGCAACATAAATAGAAACATACGCGGGAAGAAATGCAGGACGTGTGTTATTGACCTTGAGCATCGATCGACGCATTTTCTGGACAGGCTACAGGCGCACCGCTAAGCAAATATCATAAATGTATATTTCCAATGTTCGTTCATCTAACATACAGTCTAATAATATTAGCAAATTTCCCCGAAATAATTGCAAAGTCCGGTTTTATTGGTGCAAGTTGTTCAAGGGCGCATTTTAAATATGGACGCATAAAATGATTACACTAATTTTTGTGGGAAAACTTTTTATTTGACAACAAAGAATGAGAAAACGTGTTTTTTTGGGAATCAATCGAAAGTGTTGACAGGAACGAAAAAACTTTTTATGTAAGAATTTTTATTTATTTATGAGACCTACAGAATGAGATCACATGTGAAAAGATCCGACTAATAGCAAAAATGGCCGAAAAACCAGGCAAAATGCAGGTTTTGGCACTTGTTGGTAATGCGACGATAATTTTACGCAACTACTTGAAATTCTTCAAATCCGCAGGATTCATACTTCTGAAAAACAACAGTAAAATTGGAGTATAATGGTCAAGTAGTTTTTTGAGAATTCCTAATTGTTTATCCCAAAACACCTGTTTTCCGGACATCACAACTAGTTTATTGAGCTATATACAGGATTAGTTCAAAGAGCATTTTACAGCAAAATACACTAATTTACCTTACCGATATGGATTATAAACCATTCCGAAAGATAAATGTTATTTTTATGCGAAAAACAAAGGTTACGTTTTTTTCTTCAAAGCAAATTCAAACATTTCGTATTTGTAATACATACGTTACTATACATATTTTAAAACAAAGCAGATGTGTCTATCATCTTTTGTTGCGAGTTACTCACAAATACTTAATGTTTGAATTTTTTTAGATGAAAAACGTAACCCATCATTTTTTGCTTAAAAGTAATATCTATCTTCCGGAATAGTTTTCGATTCATATCAGCAAGGTAAACTCGTGTATTTTGCTATAAAATGCTCTTTGATCTAACCCATGTATATTGCTCAAAAAAACTAGTTGTGATGGCCGGGAAACAGATGTCTTGGGATAAACAATTAGAAATTCTCACAAACTACTTGACCAATCTACTCCAATTTTGTTGTGGATATTTAGAAGTACCAATCCTACGAATTTGAAGAACTTCAAATATCTGCGAGAAACCGTCGTCGCATTACCAACACGTGCCAAGACCTGCAGTTTGCCTTAGTTTTCGGCCATAACTTTTTTAATATCAGTCGGATCTTTTTACGTGTGGTCTCATTTTGTAGGTCACCATAAATATTTGAACATTTATCAAGTCGTGGCACCAGCTTTTGAAACTCACCGTCAAAGAACGTTGCCGCCTGGCCCTTAAACCAGTTAGTAACTGCTTCTTTCAACATGTCATCATTTTCCAAGCGCTTGCTACCAAGGAAATAATCAAGTTTTGGAAAAAGATGAGAGTCTGGTGGTGCTATGACAGGACTATTGGTTCGACCGGAACGTGAGGGTGCGCATTGTCATGAAGCAGTATGACGCTACTAGAGAGCAGGCCCCATCGGAGATTTTGAATATTTTCAATGTTTCATAGCACCTCTCAGCATTCATAGCAGGATGAACTTCTTTGAGCGCACTTCGCAAAGCAGTATAGCCACACAACCAACTCCGACAGAGATGTGAGACGTAATGACGCCGTAGTTAAATACTTAAGAAGAGCGTCTCAGGTTGTACGGACGTCACTTGCCAGGATGCACGGGCACGATGCGCAAGCGGTTCAAATTGGCCCTCGTATTTTTTATATTGTACGTATTCACACAATTTTTAGACAAATGTTAGCAAACGTCAGAATTTGCGATCGTTCTCCAAAATTCATAGATTTTATAACTTGAAAATGTTAATCGAACTCGTTATTCAATTTTATTTCAAGTTTTGCAGGTCTGTTGATATGATTAATAATACTATTTTCTTTGCAGGTGGAATAGCTGGAAAAAGTAGTAGTGCTGGACTGGGAAGACTACATTTTAGATTATCGTATGATTTTGACAAGAGCGATTTTATAGTGCACTTGATTGAAGGTAATTAATTATTTGTAACAAAATCGAGTCTTGATGTCATGTAATGAATGCATTTGGAAACTTGTTTATCTCAAAAAAACATAAGCAACTGACTTTACCAATTTTCAGTAGCGAAAAAAAGATTAAAAAGACTGCATATCTGGACCATGTTCTAAGAAATAACAAATATAAATTACTTGAAATTACTATTAAACGGAAAATCCATAAACGAGTGACTTGGGACGGGAACTGTTGTCCTGATTAAAAAGTATCAGAGATTGGACGAGCTAGTTTAGAGCTCTTATGAGAGAAACGGAAGATAGCGTATCGAAACCAAAAAGTGCCCCTACAACATACTTCCTACCCACAGATCTACTCCAAAAAGCAAACCATGTGCAGGCATTTCAAGGTTTTTGCAGGGTCAAATAAAGCTTTCGCCTTTTGTTGGGTACTTCGACAAAATTCAAGCAAAGAGGAATCTTTATACATACTTTATTAATCTCTAGCTTTCAATGGACGTTATTAACATTTAGTAACAATCTCACAAACGACTGTAAGTTAATTTAAAATCATTTTGCACTATAGTTGCTATTTCTTTTCAATGTTATTGCAGCTCCTGATGAAGATGGCAAAGTCCATTGAAAGCTAGAGATTAATAAGTATAAAGAGTCCTCTTTGCTTGAATTTTGTCGAAATCTATATATATATATATATATATATATATACAGGGTGTCCGCAAAGTTGGGGTTTTCCTTTTCAGACACAACTACCCTTGAAATAACAAAGGTAATGTGTAGTGAAACGAGGGCGACCAAGTAAAAAAAATAAAGGAAAAAGTACTCACTCTCCAGTTGATGAGAAGGGCTAAGTACGTATCTGCCCGAAATCATACCGCTCCAACAAAAAATGAAATCAGCTGAAGCGCTACCGAGCAGACGCAGAAACCACATTGATTGTCTTACACTTAATGGCACATCTTCTAACAAGGAAGGCAAAATGTTGCGTGAAAAGTCTAGGTATTGCATCCCGTCCAATCGATTTGGAAGAATAAATGGTCCAATGAGCATACCGTTCACCATGCCAGCCCAAACATTCACCGAAAATGTTTGTTGAAAATGACCAAACATGAGTGTTGCGAAAGTTATTCACCCCATTACGCGTGAACGTAGATTCGTCTGTCACCAATATGCACTTCAAAAAGTCCGGATTATTGTCATGTATATATATACAGGGTGTCCGCTAGGTTGGGGTTTTCCTTTTCAGAAACAACTACCCTTGAAATAACAAAGGTAATGTGTAATGAAACGAGGGCGACCAAGTAAAAAAAAATAAAGGAAAAAGTACGCACTCTCCAGTTGACGAGAAGGGCTAAGTACGTATCTGCCCGAAATCATACCGCTCCAACAGAAAATGAAATCAGCTGAAGCGCTACCGAGCAGACGCAGAAACCACATTGATTGTCTTACACTTAATGGCACATCTTCTAACAAGGAAGGCAAAATGTTGCGTGAAAAGTCTAGGTATTGCATCCCGTCCAATCGATTTGGGAGAATAAATGGTCCAATGAGCATACCGTTCACCATGCCAGCCCAAACATTCACCGAAAATGTTTGTTGAAAATGACCAAACATGAGTGTTGCGAAAGTTATTCACCCCATTACGCGTGAACGTAGATTCGTCTGTCACCAATATGCACTTCAAAAAGTCCGGATTATTGTCATGTATATATATATACAGGGTGTCCGCTAAGTTGGGGTTTTCCTTTACACGACGTGTAGATCTTGAAAACATAAGCAATTTTTCTTAGTACCATATACACTTAAGGGAACCGAGATAAAGGGCTCTGCAACATCCAAAATATCTGAATACCGTCCTGTAGCCGCGACATCCCCCAGTGGTACTAGGATACTAGCTCAACCCGATGACAGAACTGGGTCGGGGTCAGTGTGTCAGGTCAGTATGCAACCTTCAACCGACGGTTACGGTCACGCGTGTAGAGATAATCGCGTAGACGTGAATCCCTCAACAAGCACTAGATACGTGGCTAGAGAAGTGCAAGTATCAAAAACTAAAGTGTGGCAAACGCTGCGTGAAGAGGGGCTGTATCCGTTTTAACGTCCAACGTGTACAAGCCCTTCAACCTGACGATTTTCCAGCAAAAGTGCGGTTTTGTGAGTGGTTGTTGCATCAACATGACAATAATCCGGACTTTTTGAAGTGCATATTGGTGACAGACGAATCTACGTTCACGCGTAATGGGGTGAATAACTTTCGCAACACTCATGTTTGGTCAGTAGAAAATCCGCACGCTGTCTGTCGGGCACATTTTCAACAAACATTTTCGGTGAATGTTTGGGCTGGCATGGTGAACGGTATGCTCATTGGACCATTTATTCTCCCAAATCGATTGGACGGGACGCAATACCCAGGCTTTTTACGCAACATTTTGCCTTCCTTGTTTGCCTGCGTCTGCTCGATAGCGCATTAGCTGATTTCATTTTCTGTTGGAGCGGTATGATTTCGGGCAGAGACGTACTTAGCCCTTCTCGTCAACTGGAGAGTGAGTACTTTATCCTTTATTTTTTTTCCTTGGTCGCCCTCGTTTCACTACACATTACCTTTATTATTTCTAGGGTAGTTGTTTCTGAAAAGAAAAACCCCAACTTTGCGGACACCCTGTATATATCAAAAAGTAGGAAAATAATGGGCAAAATCAAATCCGCAAAAAGGAGGAAAGTGGATTCGAGCAGAAAATAGGATAGGTAACCCGAGCGATACGTATTTCGGCTGGTTGGCTTCATCCGGCCCGAAATGAATGCACATATGAAACTACAAAAGTAGATACACATGCCCACACATCCGGATACGGATGCAGATCCTTTGGGCTTGAAGTACCACAGCAAGTGGCTATAACCGGCCGCGTGGTTGTGGTTAGATGTCTCCTTGAAAATTCGAGGTCGTATAGCCATTTTATACTACAATGTGTAGGTTGGCTCTTGTTGTGGACTTCGTGTGTCGTTTTTTTTTCCTTCAACTTCGTTTCCTTAGGTTACACCCGTATCCGGATGTGTGGGCATGTGTATCTACTTTTGTAGTTTCATATGTGCATTAATTTCGGGCCTGATGAAGCCAACCAGCTGAAATACGTATCGCTCGGGTTACCTATCCTTTTTTCTGCTCGAATCCATTTTCCTCCTTTTTGCGGATTTTGCCCATTATTTTCCTACTTTTTGTTATATACCTTTCTCCGCATGATCATATTCTCTCTCTCTCTCTCTCTATATATATATATATATATATATAATACATTCATATGCAATTAGCCTTTATGCGGCTACGCGGATGTTTGTGTAAACTCAAATACGTGTTTTAGTAGTGTGTCATCGCCATGAAAATTTCTCGTCAACGTATTGTCTCTGGGTTGAGCACACTCGCTGGTGTGGAGTCTCAAATTATTACACAAATAAATAAGATATTCAACTGTATTAACAAAACACCGCGCAAATGAAGATACAATAAAGTAAAATAGGTACCTACTCACTTTTTGGCCCAAGCAGGACTCGTCCTCGAAGAGAGATTCAGCCCCAATGATCCCAGCTAAGGAATAATCACACGTAGCAGCCCATCTAGTTTTTATAAACCCCTAGAACCCCCACCGGCGGTAAATGATACACCTTTGCAGAGTATGAGTTATTTGCTGATGTTGTGCATATTTCTCGGGATATGGTTTAGGTTTCTATCGACTTATATGGCACACGTGGAGTCAATAGTCTATCAGTTTACTTATTTCTTACGTCATTGTGGCGTAACCGCCAAAAACCGTGAAAAGAACAATACTTAAGCATAAAGCAACTCTGAACTGTTCACATTTTTTTCTAGCTCACGACTTAGCTCCTTGCGACCAAGGAGGATTCACAGATCCTTATGTTCGCGTGTCGCTGCTGCCTGAAGTGGACGCTAGAAAACGTCAGACATCCATACACCGCAACAATCCAAATCCCTTGTTCGATCAAATGTTCAAGTTTCCAGTATCACACGAAGAACTTCAGTTTAAGACGCTGGTCCTTCAAGTGTTCGATTATGATAGGTTTTCGAGAAATGACATTATTGGTAAGTTCTAGTGCTAGGATAATATATGGTAAAATGTTTTGATGTGATGAAACTTTTGGAGATTGTCATTTCGGTATTGCCAATTAACGATTTTAACCTTTGCACTAGAATCTAGAACCTTACTTGAGGAAGTTTCAAACCTACATGTAGCTTTACTCATGTCAAAATTTAGATAAATGATTTATTTTACGATTCTGTATGACTATATCCTCTTTGATTGACATTTGGCGCCATGTCTAAAATATTTAAGGCGTTGAAAGAAAAAGTAGGAGCATCATCTGGCTTGAGACGACTTTTTGTGTTTTGTTCGCACTCTTCGCACTCAATATTGAAGCTCTCCAAAGAACTCACCCCTTACAAGAAGATAATGACAGTGAGTGACGGGAGTGGGTTTCATATGTGGTGAAATTGTGCCTAACCTGGCCCCTATTATTGGAAACGAGATATTAGAATCACAGAGTAAGTCGGCGCGGCTCTCGTCTCTGGAGAAAGATCCAAACTTCTGTCAGCTGTTGACATTTATCGAGCAAGTTTTTGAATGATTTTTCTGCAAAATAATATGACTCTTCGTATCATTAATCGTTCCATTAGAAAGTACACTTCGTCCTTAGAGGCTAGTAGACAACATCGAGACGTTTTCTCCCGTGAATGATTTAGGGAGCAGCTCTTCTATCAGTGTTTAGGAATACATTTGCTCGAAAGGTAAAACAGCCACGTCCAATTTCTCCTATTACCTCAATTGCTGAGCTTCCCTAAACAACTGGTGACTATCAAAGACCATTTACCCGCCAGAAAAATGATTTTACTTGAGCGATTTTGTACATCTCTGCAAATGTGTAGATGTGGCATCCAGCCAGGAACGCCTTGAGAAATAATGCTCCTTAAATCTTAAAATGTACCTTGGGGTTACCTCTGCATTAAGCAGCAGATTTGTGGCTCGAAAGACAAAGTTTGAAGGTATTTACAAAGTGAGACGCGAAACCACCCTTCAAAATTGCAAACTAACTTTATTGACCAACTTCCATAAAAGCCACATTTTCGCCAATACAATACCTCCAGTCAACTGCCAAAACTTCGAGGGAAGTTCCAAAGGCCTGTACACACTAAACTAACAAATTTAATAATTTTGGTGAAGTCCCCATACTAGTATCGCATGCACCTCCACCTTAATTTTAAATACTGCTTGAATAAGAAGCGACACGATGCAAGCAAGTATACTCAGTGACAAAGAAAATAGAACACCCAGTAAAATGACTTTATTTGAATGAAATCTTGTATGGAGTATACTTAAACAAGAGGAAGTCGTGATTAAATTTTGACATGAAAACATTTGAGGCATCACTAGATTTCTCTAATAATATGTTGCGCCATCGCGATGACGTATACATTCCCCCAATAATTTTTCTTTACATCAAGTCACACACATGTTCGGTGGGCGAAAGTTCTCGAGATCTAGAAAGGCCTCAGAAGAAGAATGACTTGGGCGTTATTGAGGTGGTAGTCTATTCTATCTACAGCAACATGTGAACGGGTATCATCTTGTTGGAAACAGCGTTCTCAAGAATTTGGAGATGTGACCAGTATTTCTCTCCATTACGCCATCATACCTCGTCTGATTAAAACTAGGTGTGACCATATGTAATGGCGCAACAAGCCATAACTCCTACAGTATGGGTCAACTGGAAACTTTACACTTAGGTTAGGTTAGGTTAGGTTTCTTGTGAGTGCATCAATGACGATCCGCCACTGCGACTCTTTGGTCTATTGTGACTCACACCTATATTTATATTTCCCCAGTAGCGCCGACCTCCTGAGAAAGTGGATCAACTAGTTTGGAGAAATACTCTTCAGGTCTCCTGCTTGGAGTACTACGTCTCCAAGAATATTGTACCTGATTCTGGCAATACATGCCTGACCGTTTCATATCCCTCCATGCTCAGTCTGCACTAAGCGTCTTCCGTGGTGATGCAATTTGCAATGACCAACGTACAGTCCTACTAGAGCTTTGAGGCTATTCCTGCTCAGCCATAGCAAAGAGTCTGTATGCGATCCCAATCGCTGGCTCAGGCCCTATGAAAGGTCTGATAGCCCCACTCTTCGCCAGAGTGTCAGCTGTCTCGTTTCCCTCTAGACCTGTGTGTCCTGGTATCCATATGAGGCCAAACCAAACAGTTTTTGGCGGGTTGATTGACATTCGTTCCCCTTGGCACCAATTCGCTATTGCGGTTAACACCTCCTGGAGTGTTCTCGAGATAAGTTCCCCAGATTTCCCTCTGACTAGAACGACTAGATCGTCTGCATATGCTTGAACCTCGGCCTCCCACAGGCGAATACTGGCAATCAGATTATCTACCAGGAGCGACCACAAAAGGGAAGATAACACCCCTCCCTGAGGAGACCTCCTGACAGCTCTAAATCTGATTGTCTCCCCCTGTAAGGATGTCGTTATGATTCTACATGTCAACATGCAGATTAGAAGATTCACACCCCTGGAGGCGATTGATTCTGGTAAGGCTTTGTTAAATACTCCCTCTATGTACAAAAAGGCCGCTGTGGCAGTTTCCTTATTTTAGAGGATGCCTCTCCAGTGCCCCCTCTTCTGTACTTATCAATTAGCTTTTCAAGGCCTTTCAGCAGAAATGAGGTCAGACTAATTGGTCTGAGTGACTTCGCCACTGGATCTGTCCATCCAGGTTTGGGTATATAGACTACCCTTGTCACCTTCCATGTGGTATGTGATTCCACGCTCTGTAGAGTGCTATGAGGAATGGCATCAATATAACCAGTCCAACTTGTAGAAAAGCTGGATATATGCCATCCTCTCCTGGCGATATGAAGGGCTTAAATTCTTTTATCACTCCTTTAACCGCATCAGCTGTTACTATGGTTCTGACAACCTGCCAATCTCCCCTGTGGGGTCGTTTAACCACCCGATTCTCCGGGAATTGGCCAGCTAAGTCATCAGATGTTATACTTCCTGGAAAGTGGGTTTGCGCAAGGTTTCCCCCTGGACTGTGCCGTCTGGTCGCTTGAGCGACCCCAGCTCTTGTCCACAATCCAAGGAGAGGATCTTGTAAACTTTACACTTACTTTATGTCTTTATCCGACTCGTCTTCTGAATCACGTCCGTCCATGATATATTCCTAAACAGAACCGTGACCGAGAAAGATAGGATATAACTGTTTTTAATGATGATATCGGTTCTATTTAAAGAATGCTTTATAGATGAGTACGAGCGAGATGCCGCGAAGAAAAGCATTTCAGTTGAACGGCACGTGCATTATACTACCGTGACGATTGTATGGATACGGGATTGAGGTGGCCTAAACATTATTAGGGAAATCCATCAATACAGTAAATGATTTCACTTCAAAATTTAATTACGAGTCCTTCTTGCCCAGGTTTAACTGTAGGTATATAAAATTTCATTCAAATAATATCATGTTTACTTGAGTGGTCTATTTTCTTTGCTGCTGAAACAGATAAAAATTTCTTATTTTAAGTAATTATAGTTTTAGTAACTTAAAAACATAATATAGAAAACCAACCTCACTGAATTGTTTCAAGATTGTTTCATAACAAACATCAGCCGCTATTTCCGCTTCAACTGATAGAGCAGATAGTCTCTTTGGGCTCATAGTGATTCTCAAGTAGGTCTTGAAATGCACTGGATAAGATTTTAAAAGCTGGACTTCTTCATGTAGTACGAAACGCTGTATTTCGCTGTTTTCACCTTTTTGAAGTATCGAACAATTCTTGACAAAGTTCTCTTATAGATTCCAAGAGCACATATTCTCTTGAAATTATGTCATTGATTCGAGATCACAGACACTTGAAATGAGATAATATGTTTCAAATAGAGTTCTTACAATATGTTTTAAGAGTTTTATATCATAGTCACGACCCGCAATTCAATATGGATGTATCTAAGAGCACTTCGGTCAATGTCCATGGCCATTTTTGCTTTGACATTTTCACATTAAACTTCTTTGTCATTTTGTGGTTTCTGGTTATGTTTGATTTTGTTATATGTTTGGATTGTTTTGGATTTCTAGTTTGAATAGCGGACCCAATTAACTTCTAAAGAGCTCCTTATCTATTAGTTCATTGAGCTCATTTGTTCTACAAAACTATGAAAAACATCGATTTATAGATACATCGATGTTGAATCTACTATGTTTGTATCCTGAAATAGAAAGAATTGACTTATGTATTCCCTGAGTATCAAGCGCGGTATGGTCTTTTTCAAGTTGACGGCTCTGGATTCCATTTCATTTAAACCCAGGATTGCCCAACGGCCAAAAAATAGGCTATATTTATAACTAAAAATATAAAATATATATATACAAAAAAAATACCGAACAACTATTTTTCGATCAAAACTATAAACTAATGTGAATCTACTTTATAATTGCAGGTGAAGTAACGATGAACCTAAGCGACGTCGATATAGCCAACAGCATAGAGATTTGGGGAGAGATAGCAAGAACCAAGAAGCCTAAAGAAGATATCCAAGAAGTGCTGATATCCTTGAGTTATTTGCCATCTGCCGAACGTGTTACTGTAGTTCTATTGAAAGCTAGGAATTTGTTTTTGTCAGAAGCGAAAGAATCACTTGGTATGTAAACATGAACCTGCACTTAATCTACAACAATTATTGGTTTCTAAAAGTATCAGGTAACCAAATAAGTTCATGCGGTTGCTGTATATCGCACATTGCCATGGATGTTGTTGATCGATAGCACGATAGCGTTTGTTACCTATTGTCACCATAGTATGAATCCTTCTTTTCTAACAACTTGCAGAAATGTTCAGAGTGAGTCCTGAAACTATTCGATTGCATCTTCATCAGCTAGGAAAGACGTGGAAGTTAAGCAAATGGATCCCACATGAACTGACAAATCATAACAAATTAAGTCGTCTTACCATTTGGTCAGCAAACATTTCACGCTACGCTAATCAACCATTCCTTAATCCGTTGTTAACCTGCGACGAAAAATGGATCTTGTATTCGAATTCTAAGCGTTCGTATCATTGGTTGTCCACGCACGCCCAAGGCTTCCTTGCACCCAAACAAGGTTTTGTTGTGTGTTTGGTGGACAGCAACTGGAATTGTCCATTATGAGTTTTTGGAAAGGGGTCAAACCATCACTGCTAACTTGTATTGTGAGCAGCTTCAACGAGCACAAGCAGCACTCATCCAGAAACAGCCTTCGTTGATCAATCGGAGGAAAGTGGTATTCTTGCAGGTTAACGCCAAAAGTGACCCGAGAAAAAATTTCTGAACTCGGCTGGGAAACGTTACCGCACCCGCCATATTCCCTCGACATTTCGCCCAGTGATAGCCTTTTTTGTCTCTTGACAACTGTATGAGGCACCGACAGTTCACAACTCCAGATGGTGTAATGCAGTCCGCCAATTTTTTTACTCCAAATCCAGGGAGTTCTACAATACCGGCATATAAAAATTGGTTACACGTTGGCAAAAGGTCATTGAATGTGATGGTAATTACTTCGACATATAAATAGTGTCTTATTGTTTCTCAATAAACACTTATATTTTTCTACTAAAAACCGCACGAACTTATTTGGTTACTTGATATTTAAAAATATTTTCCTTAGTCCCTATTGAGCAGTGTAGCCTGAAGGTATCGGAAGGGTGTCCGTAAACTCATGCAAAATTTGAATCAAGTGGAAAACACAGACGTTTTCCTTAGATGCAATATTTCTTAATGAATTGTCTGGAGTGACCACCCTGCAAGTCACATCCGGTGATGAGTATGCATAATCAACAATGGTGTATTCTTATCGGCCAAGTAAGAATATTATTGACTATAAAAGCTAGTTAGGCTGAGACGTGAGGGGATTCCCACTCTGGGGGCAGTCCCCCTCGGGACTACCATGCCAACTAGAGTAAGTACCTCTTTCTGGTGAGTAATTCCTCTAACAGCGCCATACTTGTCAGGATTGTGACATGGGAGTTAGTTCATCGCAAATGCTCGCTTGTGCGCTGAAATGAGCAGTTAAACTAATAACTCATAACAACTCACAAATAAAAACTGTATTGAACATAAAATATAAAACAGAGAGGTTATTAAGATAGATTCTATTCTGTATCTATTTGACTCAAATTTTGCATGGATTCCTGTACACCCTATATTTCAGCTCACTTTTCCCTAAGTATGGGTCTCAAAGTAGCCTAAATAATAACTGTGTTTGTATTACTCACTTTACAGATCCGTTTGTGAAGGTTTACCTACAAGTGAATGGTAAGAGAGTGAAAAAGAAGAAAACTGCATCAAAGAAGGGAAGTTGTAATCCAGTATGGAATGAAGCACTGACTTTTAGCTTGTCTTCAAGTAACGTACCCAATGCTGCCATAGAGGTATGTGATACTTACATTGTTTTAGATCTAATCTCTACCCATATTAAACAGATTTGAAGAGTACTTTTTCACTATAAGTATTAAAATTTTTCCAAAATGTTATGTTTTTTGGATATTATATGACATCTACATCACGAAATACTATGTCACTCATTTTCTTGAGTCTGTCTATCGGTCCATCTGTCCGCTAATCCTTGTCCCATCTATAATTTGGAAAGTATCGCTCCGATTTATATAAAATTTTGACACAAGCTTACTACTAATCCAATGATGAAAAATCTTTGTAGTTTTTGAAGATCGATCCAGTTGCGATAGAGTAAAGAGGAGGCAAAAGAGAAAAAACAAAAATCGCTCAAACTTTTACGTATTAGTCGAGTACTTACGATACACCAATATATGGCATAAGTGAAAGTTATGTTTGAACTATACTTACATGAACCTGAACGTAGCCTACTATATAATATATTCCAGCGTCCAAAATGAATCTGAAAGGTCATATATCTATGAACACACAATGGATGGAAAAATGAATTTAGAAGTCAACTTTTGGACAGGTTATAGTGTTTGGTTCTGCTACTATCTCATAGATCGCACTTGGATCTTCAATCCCTATTGTGGACTCTCTAATGCCTATTTTGATTGGGTATCTTCAGGTGGAACAAGTTAACCAATGAAGATATCCAATTAAAATAGGCATTAGAGAATCCAAAAAGAGAGACTATATCGACATTCATGAGACAGCAGCAAATTTTATTTTTGAATTAATTTATGTGTTCTGTTGCTGCCTCATATATAGCGGTAGTATCCTTCAGATCCATTTTTGAACACCAAATAACAATATATACTGAGTGACAAAAAAGGTAAACATCTACGTATGTTTATTAGAATTCAAGAATTTTTTACATATCGACTTATCTTGCCATGAACAACAAGTGATAAAATGGTCACGTTTTTCTGTTAAGTTGTTGTGGTGGCTGCGTGTGTTGTTTGGTGATAAAGAAGCATTCAGTTTACGTACATTTAAGGTGTCAGTTACATGTTAAATTTCGTGTAGCTTATAGAGAAGCCTTTTTGTGATTGCTCAAAATGCCTAGAGTGCGTAGAATTTGAATGTGTCCCGGACACGTGACTTTGAGGGTGATCAAATTGTCGGAAGGCCGAGGACAGCGAGGCAAGTGTTCTGGATGTCCCAGAGGGACCACAGAGCGACAAGACCGCCGGTTAAGACTTCTCGCTCTGAGAGACAGATTCATTAGTACTCGAGCCATCGCTAATCAGTGGTTTGCAGAGCGTGGAAGGATATTTGGTATGCGTACGGTACATCGCCGAATACGACAGTTTGGCCTTTTCTCTTATCGCCCACATTGGGTGCTACCTCTCACAGCTGAACATCGACGTAACCGTTTGCTCTGGTGTAGAAAAAGAGCTCTATGGGACATGGAATGGGATCAGGCGGTCTTTAGTGACGATCCCGCTTCTGTCTGGGGATGCACGATGGTTGGGCAAGAGTGAGAAGGCGACGTGTTGGCAGACGTGACCCACAATGTGACAGAAAGCGTCACCTGGGCTGATGCTAATACTTATGGTAGCAGATCACCACTAACAGTGGAGCCTTATTCCATACATAAACACCATCCAAAACCCGATTTTTCAGCAAGACAATGCCAGACCGCATATTGCCAGAACATCGTTAGCCTTCATGGATCAACATCGCATCAACCGTTTACCTTGGCCACCACGATCGCCTGACCTATCTCCAGTTAAACATGTCTAGGACCTGATATGTCGCAGGTTCCTGAATTTGCAACGCCCTCCACAGACTTTAGCAGCTCTTACATACGAAGTTGCAGTAGCCTGGAATGAGTTAGCCCAAGAGGATATCGACCACCTTATCAGCACGATGCCCATGCCTGAGAATGACTGCATCAGAAATTTGGATCCTCAACACATTATTTAACCAGCTTCTGCAGTCAGTTGACGAATCAAGCTGAAATTTGAATAATTTTACTAGTAAGGGACACTGAACATATATGCCAAAAATTATTAAAATCGGATAAACATACGCAGGCGTTTACCCTTTTATGTCACTCGGTATATGATTGTCTATACGTTAATCAATGCTTAGCTCAAGAATAGAATTGAGTTTTAGAGCTCAACTGGTGACAGCATAAATCTTGTTTCAGGTACTAATTTTCGACCAAGGTAACGACCTAATAGGCACCAATCCCCTGATAGGTAGCTGCGTGATAGGGCCTAAAGAGAGCGGCCCCGAAAGAGACCACTGGATCGACATGATGCACAGTCCAAGAAAGGCTGTTGCCTGTTGGCACACCGTCAGGTAAACGATGCCGACGGATCTAGTTGGCCATTCTGACAACAACACGCTCAAATCAAATACGCTATGCCACAACACGTATAACGTTGTTTGTTGATATGTATACGTATTGTGAACGATCACTGAACAGACAAGGATATGCTATTTAAAAATGTGCAAAAAAGTGTCCACTGTCGGAAATGGAGGGATCCTAGAGTAACAATTAAATTTTCTGGAAAAATGGTGTCAAGTACATTGACTCTATACTTCCCACGCCTTCCAAAAAACTTCAAGTAGTTCCGTGTAGTGCAATAGCATGAGCGTAGGTTTTGTCAGGACCATCAGTGCACTAGTGAGGCTTTTCATGTAAAAAAAATCCTCATATTGCAGCAGTGAACGTGTCCGTACTATATAATATTACCTCATGAAATCAAGTAACTTCATTGAATCACACTCCAAGCATAATATCTATAGATCAATCATATCCCCACTTCGCATGTGGCACCTTATCGCCTAGACAGCAAAATTACGCTCGAGACATAAATTGGAACTCCGTCGAGAAAAGCCCCATTGTTACAAAATTATCTCCTCCAGGGAAGGACACGATACACAACAAATGGCACACGTCTTGTCCATGCTACTGAAACGCTTCATCATAAAATATGAATTTTTACGAGGATACAACGCCAATGTGTGTTTATAAGTAATTAAAAACTACATGTTATGTGTGTATATTTTCCTTGTGTATAACCCAAAGCGTTAAATATGTTTAATGAAACATCATATATATACATGTATATACAGTACGTAATCGTAAAGAAACTTAACCGGACAACCGTGTATTTTAAACTTAGAGCCACGCTAACGTGGAAGATCTAATCTAAAGTATTATTCCCTTGATTGCATACTGTCTAATGACAATCATCTCAACTGATGCGAATTTCCATATATAATCGAACAAAAACTAATGAATCGGTCTAATGATCTAAGACTCTAATGAAAAAATGTAAACTGAGAAAATATAACTCGAAGTATGTGAATTTGTATGAATGTAAAGTTGGTGAACATTCCATCTATATAGGATGCTACCAAAACATTGATTGGAAATTCAATGGATGATTTTTTGAGATATTTCCATGCAATAAAGCTTCTAACTACGCTATAACTAAGTAGACGGAAACGACGAAACTAAATTTTCTAAATTCTTCAAAGTAAACGTTGAAGCAGCATGCGGCTTCCAAAATTCCATCCAAATCTGTACAGCCGTTCCAGAGCTTACGAGAATAAAATAACGCCAACACACAGACAGACCGAATATACATGACAGACTTCGCAAAACATTAAAAACTTATATGAAATTTTAAAATTTTGACGGTCACATTGACATTCTTACGAACGTCAAATATAATTACAATTTTATATTGTCTCCATTAAATAACTGCCTTCTGAAGACACACAGCGCTGGAGACGGTTCTTCCACTCCTCATAACAGTGCCGGAACTGGATTAGCCTTCATTCAGCTGGTCGGTTACAGCCGTTTGAATGTTTTCGATTGTCCCAAAATGGGTTTTCTTGAGGTAATTTTTCAACTTCGGGAAGATAAATAGTCACAAAGTTTCAAGTCAGGCGAATAAGAAGACTGAGGAGCCACTGGAATATTTTTATGACCAAAAACTCGTTTACTCATATTGCTGGGTGACAAGGAGTATTATCGTGATGCAACGCGCAGTTGTTCTTGATCTGATGAACGGTGGTGTGCTCAGATTTAACTCTTCCTCGACCATTCTAACTGTCAACAGACAGATCTGAATGCACAAGATCCCGGATTCTGTCGATATTTTCATCGGTTTTTGAAGATGAAGGTCATCCGCTCCGTGGTTCATCTTCAATCGACTCTCTCCCTTCTGAAAATGCTTTAAATCACAGAAAAACCTGGGCTCTTGACAAAACAATATATATATAATATCTCCGTAGGTCTCCTGAAGTTTCGCAAGAGTTTTCGTTGCTGTGCCCAAGTCTGAAGCAAAACTTGATAGCACACCATCGCTCAAAATAGATGTCACTCATTTTTAAAACACAATAGGAAAAACTGCGATGCCAGTCTCATCACTTAATTCACAGACCTCGTATATTAATAACTTGACCACCTTTATACTTTAAATATTCGAGTAATGTTTTACTGGATCAATTTCGTCATGATTGCTGCTTGATTTCAGGACTTGAGCCCCCTAGGTTCCCTATCGCACTATACAAAATTATCAACTCACACAACTCCAGCGGAAGTTTTGCGATCTGTCCGAAGCTCCAAGTGTGATTTTTGACAGTAGAAGCAATTAAATTTCGAAATGCTTAGCCCCAAACGAAGCGGTTTTAATTAAATCGTCTTAAAGGACAACACAGCCTTAAATAGTCAAAAAATGACTCCCTGAATCTTTGCTCCATGATTTGGAAACATCCTGCATAGGAATTTTGATTATTCACGTCATTGTTTTGAAGTAATTTTTACAGCAACTGAATATATTTTCTTTGTCCACTATGGAGAAGCGCTAATACAATTATTGTAAATTTCAGCTGTAAGAAATATGTTTAGAAAAAGACAATGAATTAACTATTTTTGGGAAAAAGACATTTGAACACGAATTTTTTAGTCATATCAAAACGTATTGTACATTTTAGCACATGTTATATTATGAAAAAAAATGCTATATTTTAGAATGTTGGACAGTCAGAGTATACCAAAGTCTGCCTTCAAAACTATTCAAAAATTTCACGTACTGCCTGGTATGATATCACAACTTTAGGAAATGAGAGAAATCGTGTATTTTTTCTGTGATAGAATGTATAGGATGAGACCTTCTGGAATATAGCATTACGTGAAAAATGATCCAGTTGTGAAGTGTCTTTATTGGTCCACAGTTTATTGATACACTCTTACCTGCCTCTAAATTGCTTGGCAGGTTCTTAAAGCAGTCATTTTTGATAGAGAGAATCAAAAAAAATCTATAATGCATGTTTATGGATTATAGGAAAAATGATTTTTAGATTTTGGATACCAAAAAATCTCAAACAAAACTTCAATCCAAAAAATTGCGACTGCAAACTCCATGCCTTAAATCAATATATTAAGTGCAACTAGCTTAAGCGACACGACACCTCTCAAATGGACATAGAACTATTTATCACAAAAAAAGTTAAAATGCAACTTATGAATTTAATAGTCCACTTTCTAACAAACTGAAACGCTTATTCTGAGAATAGGATATATTTTAGATCATAATTATAGAATGTTCTGTGTGATGTCTCCTCTCAGACTTATGATTAATGTTACTACTATCCTATATATTATTATATACACTTCAATATTACATTTTATTATCTGCGTATAACGTATAAGACATGTTTTTGAACACTTTATAGCATTAAGGGACATAATAGTATAAATAAATCCATGTTCTGTGTTGTTTGTATGATAGCATGATACCTAGAACTATGTTGCTTAGTTAGCTTCATATATTTTTTTTAATTATGAAAATCTCCTCACAATTTTGTACGACGACTGGCAGCTCCTTGACACGATAATTATATAAAGAGGACGCATTTTAACTCCTCTTTACTTTCATTTAGCACAAATCCGCTGTCTGTGGTTTTCCTTCAGACTATTTTAAATGTTTTAGGTAATCATGCAACTCTGTTTACCCCTTAAAAATATGTATAAGAAAATGTTGATATTGTGTCAATGTTACCTATGGTGTATGTTACAAAACATAAATAATATACCTCAAACTGTTTACCAAAATATTATAAGTTGAATGTTCCGAAAATATCTACAAGTTACAGTTTTACGAAATTATATAAAATTTATTATATTTTTATTAGTGGTATCGATAAAATGCTACTACTGTTAGTGAAATATTTCAGCATATATATCCAGTAATTATTAATGTAGAATGAGGAAAAATGTGTCCCATTATGTACTATCCATTTTACCTCAAACCATGTCTCATTTTGTTATATTTGTTTTTAAAATCATTAATTCGTCTGTTAGATACTAGGAATTTTGTATTTTGTAGTCATTGATGTCGGAGATTTGAACATACCAGAATATTAGATTACATTGCTAGTGCTATGATGAATTAAGTGTAAAAAATGTACGACCTCTAGTCAAAATATTCCTGACATGGAAATCCCGAAAATCTTCAACATCTCAAATAGAAATGATCATGTTTAAACAACTCTTTTTGTAAAACATAAACACCTACTCGCTTTTTATAAATTTGTATATCATTGTTATCTGCCTATAACTGGCGAAAATACGTGGTGTCGTAGCATGTCCTTATTTGTCGGATTAACACAATAGTTAGTACAGCTATTCTGTGAACTCCTATATGACTTAAAAACATTACCAATAAATGTCGTTCAAATGTTCCTTTACCCTGTTCCAAGAATGACAGATGATTATCCAGTAATATCTCAAAATTCCCCATATCGGCACAGGACACATAATTCTGACGGATCCCTCAACGCCAGGCAGACAGAGCCGAATTTTGTTTTAGTTTTTTGTACGCCACATTTTTTTGTAGTTGCTAACAGCTCTTTTATTTAGAAATGTTCATTTGCATACCAAAACCAAACGCCACAAACAAGTTTTACTAGATTTATACCTGATCCATTATTGCCAACGTTGCAGACTAAGACAAAAATGTAATTTGCTGATCAGCTATTCACCTCAGTAGACGTCAAAGCGAGATGGATACTCGTGAAATAGGGTATTCTTGTTTGCGGCGTTTTGTTTTTTGTATGCAAATGAACTTTTCTAAATAAAAAAGCTGTTAGCAAGTACAAAATGCATCTGCAGCGTACAAAAAACCAGAACAAAATACGGTTGTGTCTATCTGGAGTTGACGGATCCATCAGAATTATGTGTCCTGTGCCGATATGGGGAATTTTGAAGTATTACTATATAACCAGTTCATTCTACCGTGATGGATACTCGTGAAATTGGGTATATATAGCATCTTTGATAAACCATTTGAAGAAAACATATTAAGACACCCTGTATAAGTTCGTCAATGTATTATTAAACTATCATGTACTTTATTGCGTGTAGTTATTTAGTTATATTTTTTGTGCTGGCTATAGGGACCATAAATTAACTAAATGTGTATCTAAATAAAAAATAGTATTTAGGATTATTCACTAATAGAAGAACTGGAAAACGTATCTCAATTTGCAACATATGCTGAAATATTTTACTGGATATAATATATCGTATGTATCAGATGAAAAACTTAGATTTTAAGCATATTTGTATTTAAGAATATATTTCTAAAGATTCTATGGTATGATAAAAATCAAAAGTGTTGAAATACTAATTTTAACATGTTCTGTTCAAGAGCAGATTCAGCCATAGAGATTTCGTCATCTTGCTCTCTTGAGACTTATCATGGATTGATTTATCCGAATAAATTTAAGATACAAAAGAGCGATTTCCTGTACCTGAATAAATAATTTGTCAAAAAATAACAACATAAACGATAACTCTATTTATAAGCAAATCCAAACTCCAAGAAATAGTTTTCAGAGGATTCATAAAAAAAGCTCGGTTATAGCATGTATGTTTTTAGACAAGCCCAAATTTCGACCTTTTTTCTCGCCCTAAATGTTTTAATCAGAAGCTGAAGAATCAAATGACAACGAAGTTGATATACATATACGCTTTCTAATTTTTTCAAATTAAAAATTATTACATCCTCAAATATTATGCCATGAATCACACTGGCTTAAATTATGAATGGACTGTATTCTATCACATCAGTGCTTGTCGCATTTCGACATGATAGGTGGCACAACGTTTAGATTAAAATCAATAATAATTCATCCCGTCTCTCAACTATTCGTGTTTCACGGAGACGATTTGTAATAAACTAACTTACCTGTCCTGTCGGTACATCTCAGCGACATACAATTACATCAAAGTGGTCAAAATTATTACTATCATTGTGTCAAGCAGAAAAAAAACGTTAGCTTAGTTCATTCTACTTTAGGTTATGATGACTCGAAAAAATTAAGCCTGGTATTTTTATGGAATCCTCACTCAAGCTTTCAACCATCCAATATATGAGCTAATATAAAGATCTCGTAGGTATTACAAAAATACTATTAAATAACTTAGTTAAATATATTTAGTGAGCGAAGGTAACCACAGGGTTGATGAATATGAATGCGTTACATTTCCCAAATCTGCTCCAATATTAAAATATTTTTATATGCATATTTTTTCACTATAGTGGCAAGCATTCAAAATGTCTGCAATGCAACTCTCTGCACTTATAAAAACAATGTACAATATACGATTCATGTGTATGTATGTAGAGATTATAAATGTCAATGTTGTTTACCCCAGCGAATCTAGTAACTAGATCAAATAATAAATTTATGAGTCACAGATTGAAAAATGTGAGCTTTTTAATCAAAAATCAGTTTAACGTTGCGTTGTTGTATCTTTTGTGTGGTTGTCATGGTCAATATTTTATGAAAATATATTCAAAAGTGATACGCAAACCTTATGACGTTATTAGTTCCATTACTTATGAATAAGACTGTATTATGTAGTTGGATATGATAGTAAATAAAATAGTACAAAAATAACAACGTATATTCTATCAAAACAATATCATACATAAAAAACTGTACCTTTGGTATAACAATGTATAATATAAGTTAAATCATACTCAGTATTTTTAAAGGTGAAAAGCAACTCAGTGAAGATGTATCTATTGTGTTCATTATTGCTTAAAGAACAAAAAGCTATATATTTGATGTTTATTTAGAGAACAGAAGACACATTCTTGATGGGCAGCCTCGATTGATCAATCTCAATGAAATCTTTGAACCCGCTTTTCCTTACCATGAGTTTGATTTCAGCCGACTCTGCATTTTCGGGCCAGTTTGCACAGACTTGAACGCTACAGCCTGTAATCGTCAGTAACATGAGAGACTGAATCCTCACAGAATTACGAAAAATATATACTGAAATAAGTTATTTATGTATGTAGGGTTTCCCAATATGGATGATAGGATTTTGACAGATCACTGCCGCCATCTTAGTTGTCAATTTCCTGACAGCCGAGTTATATTCTGTTCAGTAAGGCTTGCCATTCCACCATGGACAAGTTAACGTTACCTCAATGTTTGGAAATCCTCCAAATTTTCTATCATAGTTTGAGAAGTTTTGTCGCTACTCGCAGAGCATTTCGTGTTAAATATGGTGTACCGACTCAGCTCGCTATAAGTTGCATAATTCAAAGTGGATAGTCTTTGCATGATAGTAGAAAGCGATCATGCCTTAGTGCCTGGATGTAGACTGACTGATCCAGCATCGGAAATGGAAGGACCTTTAGACCCGAATGAAGACAGCAGTTTACCAACTGACCGCGAAAGCCTTAACCAATTTGCCACAATATGAAAAAACGAAAATTTTTTGTTGGCAATGCTCCTAAATATTCTTGTATTCTGCATGTTGGGGCGACCAAAAGCCGCGGCGGAGTACCATTGCGGGCGAGCTCGATTAACAATTAAAAAACAAATGTTTACAACAAAATACGACCTAAAATGCTTTAGGATCTTCTTAATGGGTGTTTAATGAATATTTAGAAACACCGGCAACATTAAATCTTTCATATATTTCATATTGTTTTTTGGGGTCGAAAATAGCATATTTCGCACTTTTTCAAATATTGTATCGCTTATATTGGAAAAGTGTCCTAAAGCAACCTTTTTGTTCAAAAAAACAGAAACACTTTGATCGGAGAAAAAAACATTGGAATTTGTTTGTAAAATAGGTTGGAGTGGCAACATGCAGATACATTGATAAGGGACCTTTTTGGATGAGATTAAGCAAAAAATCCGAATCAGAATATTTTCCCATTAGATGCGAAGATATTGCCCGGAAAAATACGAACCTTTCGTAAAGCATTATCCTCACTATCAGCAGTCATCTAGGATTTAACTTGGTTGTCATCAGCTTGCGATTTAAATATGATGTGCAAACCCATGTATTGGGCATAATCACATTACTTAAGAATTATCTAAAGGTCAAATTCAAGATTAATGTTATGATAACTTGCACAGATCAAATGCCTACTAACCCAAGACGGAAATGGTATAAAAAATGCTTAAAAATTTGTCAGCTATCTGACATCTGACTTAGCACCCTGAGAAACAAAAGCAATGAAAATGCATTATTACCTTTTCCAATGAATCCTTTTTCATGAGCTGCAGCCAACTGATTTACAACTCGTCTTTCAACTTCATATTTGATAGATCTTGCTCCATAGTTCACATCATACCCATCAGCTAGAGCCGACTCAACACTTCTGTCCCAGCTGATTTCAATCTTATGTTTATCTTTAGCCTGAAAACAAACACATGACAAAACGGTGTACTTTCTCAATGATCGTATTTTTATACCCTTTTCGCCCAGATCTGCAGTTCTCTATTAACCAACTGTACAAGCTCACTCCTCGAAAAGGGAAGAAAGTATACAATTTCATTAATTCGCCCAAGGAACTCATCTCGTTTAAAATGCCTTTTCAAAATAGGCTTCACTACTTCGTCCTTAAATTTACGTGAGATTGTTATGTTTTCGGAGATTTGTGCCCCATTATCTGGAAACAATATTTAAAAAGAATACAAATCATACAGAAGATAGACGAGACCGTCAACAAAGTGACTCCTTCGTGGATTATCTCAATATGTCTATCAAAACAAATGGATGATATGTTGTGTGAGCTCTCCTAAATATTTGAGATTGATAAATCATTTACTCCCAAAAACAGAACGATTCTGCCCGAGCAATTTTCTACATGTCTTCATTTAAAGAGATGCGACATGTGGTTTTATGATTAAAGGTCCTTGAATCTCCAAAAAAATAGAACTAAAATAAAGTGTCAGATTCGTATTTTGCAAGAGTAAGTTCAGGATGAATATTAAAAGTTGTGTCACACTACTTTTCCTATCTGAATCACCTCTTCGTAAATGGCTTACCTTTGCAATCAATCATACTCAGTCTCTGCTCCTTGAGCTTCTCAACTTCCTTCCTCAATTGCAACGCATGATTAGCGATCTCATCGCTCGCTAGATTTGAGGTCATTATAAAGATAGCATCCTTACACTCGATTGTCTTGCCCTGTCCGTCAGTCAGTCTGCCTTCGTCAAACAGCTGCAGCAATACCGTCAGGACATCAGGATGTGCCTTATCTACCTCATCAAATAATACTACCGCGTTTGGACATTTCTTGAGTCGTTTCGTCAATTGACCACCTTCGTCGTGGCCTATGTAACCTGGAGGAGCTCCTATGAGCTTGGCTACCTGTTCATAGGGATAAATTCGGCTCAATGACAGATTTCTTGCAATAAAAAAGAAGCAGATTACAGCTGTGCATTATACGCTGAAAACCAAATTTGTCTGACGGCTCGAGTTCAATGTGTACGAGAGAGAAGTGTGTATAGACGCATATGTTAGAAAGAGATAGAAGCCGGCTGAATAGCGAAGCTCATCACCGGGTTGCCTAGCAACTCTGACTGTGCAATCTGCCGCGTTGCCAATGTTACACCAGTTCCTTGATATAAGATGCATGTTGAAAATTTGCCCAATTAATGGTTTTATTTTGAGCATATACAGTTTTCAATTGTGAATTGTGTCGAATCTGTTTGGGATCGATTTAGGATCGATCCCAACGGCTCTCCATTTTAGGTCGAAATGAAAGGTCAGGATCGCCACAAATTCTGCAACACTGCATCATTAGTTCGTTTGATTACACTGCATCTTGAACATTCCAAGGCAAGGTTTCCACCTCCATGATCATGGATGAGCATATTTGGTTAATGCCCATCTAGCACTCATTGGGGAGTGTCGTCCTGCTGCGAAATGGTTTTCACCTGCGTACACGCAGGCAGTGATAATTTGTATTGCGTAATGTGATTTGTTACATTTTCCGACCACTCTCTGTCGCAAAATGTAACAATAACTCAGGATGTGTTGATTTTATCACCATCGGTGGAAATCAAAAAACAAAACAAAATATCAACTTCAATGTTCGAACAGACCTCCTTCTTGGGTTTTACAGTAACCTAACCTATTATACGAGTACAAGCCTCTGAGAACATTTTCTGGTGTAACATATTTTCAACACGGCAGATTGCACGTTCGTCTAAGACACCGTTGCTCGGCAATGTGGTGATGACCTTCACACTTCTCGCGCTTCTCTCTCATACACATTGACCTCAAGCCATCAGACAAATTTAGTTTTCAATGTATAATATTTTGATGAGAAGTAACATCAATATTTCAATTAAAAACAAATTTTAAAATTTGCATCACGTTCTTTTTGTAAGCATGGGTTGTAAAATAGGGACGCAGGAAAGTAAACGTCAATTTGACATAGACGCCATCTTTGTTTTCTGTCACCGACATGTCATTTTGTTAGTTGGATGTTTACCATTGATCACTATGGAGTCGTATTCGATTGAAGACCGCACTACAGTTATTCAAGAGCACTACAAACACGGTGCAAAAATAAAAAACATGTTTCGCGCGCTTCGTGAACATTTCGGTCGCAACAACCGCCCAAAACGAAACAACCATAGGTCGTCTGGTGCGTAAATTCGAGGCAACAGGTTCTGTGGCAACTTGCCAGGCTGTGACCGGCCAAGGAGCGTTCGCACACCGGAAAAGATTGCTGTTGTGAAGGAGAGTGTGAGAGACGATCCGAAACAATCAACAACGCGTCGATCCCAAGAATTCGGCATTTCGAGAACCAGTTTGCTCCGCATTCTCCACAAGGATTTGAATGTACAGGCCTACAAGATCCAATTGACGCAAGAGCTGCGTCGGGCCGACCATTTTTCGCGCCGAACGTTCTCAGATTGGCTGCTTGAACACCGCCAAATTGATGCCAATTTTTCATCACAAATCATGTTCAGCGACGAAGCGCATTTCACTTTGAATGGGACGGTAAACAAGCAAAACTGCCGCATCTGGGCGAACGAAAATCCCCGTGAGTATCAAAAGCAGCCGATGCATCCTCAAAAAGTGACTGTGTGGTGTGCATTGTGGTCAAAAGGCATCATCGGACCTTACTTTTTCGAAAATGCGGCCGGGGACGCCGTTACCGTCAATTCTGAGCGATATCACGTGATGATAGAAGACTATTTTTTGCCGCAACTTGAAGGAATGGATATGGACGATGTTTATTTCCAACAAGACGGTGCAACATGCCACACAACCAACGTCAATATCCATCGATTGCAGTCCTTCTTCGGTGATCGCGTGATTTCGCGCAGAGGAAATGTGCCATGGCCACCAAGTTCGTGCGATTTGACTCCCTTGGGCTTCTTTTTATGGGGATATTTGAAAAGCAAAGTCTACGTCAACAAACCAGCCACCCTCCAAGAACTCAAATCAACATCATTGCCGAGATAAATGCCATAGAACCGACCATGTTGTAAAATGTCATTGAAAATTTCGACCATCGCGTGGACGTCTGTAAATCCAGTCGTGGTGAACTTTTGAGCGATATTATGTTTCATACATAAATGGTATAAATGAACCTTCAAAATAAAGTACCCAACTTGATTTGAATATCAATCTTTCTTGTTTTAATATGCGTTTACTTTCCTGCGTCCGTTTTGGACAACCCCATATTTCTTGAAACCTTAAAAACTGAAATTATTGCATTTAGCAGCCTGTCAAAATAGATTATTGTATGCATGCTGTTACTTAATCTCAACTTTAACAAAACAGAGTACATAAAGACGTGAATTTATTCCGATCGATTTCTCGAAAATCATCTCAAGTTTTGTAGTATTTACAACAATGGAAAAATTTATGGATTATCTGACAGTACACAACAAATTCTTGCTAGAAACATTTTGAGCTTTTATATGTATTGTGGTTTTGATTTTGAGGTGAACATTATAAATAGAAGAATGAAGAAGAACTTCATGGATTTATATGATGTCAAATTCCTGTTTTATACTTTTGAAATTTGGACATGAACGCAACTCAAAAATAAAGTCTTTGTGCTAAAAATTCCAAAAGAAAACTGAGCATGCTTCAGCCATTCCAATTCACTTCAATAATGTAGGAAATACTGAAACCAAAAAAGCCCCACTCACTTCATGTTTTTCCTGATATTCTGACATATCCAATCTAATAAATGCCTGGGACTTATCTTTATGGATGTATGCTGCCAACTGCTTAGCTAGTTCTGTTTTTCCAATACCCGAAGATCCCAGAAACAAAAATACTAGAGGATGGTCATCATCAGCCCAACCATTCTCCTTCCTCCTCACAGCTAAAAATACAGTTGAATAACTCACCAAATTCTTCAAATACATCCCATATTATTTTTTATTTCAACTCATTTTTTTAGAGTGAATAGTTGAGATGAACCTCCCAAAATCTTATCAATGCAACTATGTGTATCACAGTAAACAAATCCACTTACTAGCAGCAACTAGAGCGATGGCACCCTCTTGTCCAACAATATGCTTTTTCAGTCTTTCTTCAAGGGGGTATCTTCTTCTTTCTTCGATTTCCTTTTCTTTTTGTTTCTCTTTGTACTATTCAAAAAATAAAGAGAAATGTAAATTTTATCACTTGCTCTTAACATAGCATAATATAACAAAGAGAATATGAAACGAAATTTAGAACTATGATGGATGCTTATTGTCACAAAAATGTACATACCATTGCCATTTCTTTCTCCAAAAATTCCTTAACCTCTCCAGCTTTTGCATACATAATTGGTTTATGTCCAATGTCATTTTCTAACAGTGGATTAGCTCCATACTTCAACAATAATTTTACAATAGATAAGTTGTCTGCCAATACAGCATAATGCAATGGTGTGAAACCCAAAAATGTTGCTTTATTATTTAGTGCACCACAAAATTCTTCATCCCTGATCATTAACACTACAAAAAAATTAAATCAGCCTATGTATTTTTTGATGTCTTGATTTTTGTATCACAGATTTGAAACAGACATAATTTGGTATTCATTATATCAGATCAGTCACTGTAACCTTGATTTAAATTCAATTCCACCTGATCTGTATATCAGCTCCTAATAGGATCAAGGATAAAAGGTAAGAGATGCTCTGATACTATCATCGGGTAATAGCCATAAATTTATTCAAAATGTTAGTGGAATATCCAGGGTACCTTCTATTGGATGCATTCCAACTTCATTTGCTGTCCTATTTGCATTAACATAATTATCGGAAGTGTTTGGATCAGCTCCTGCCTTCAGCAATATCTCTACAAGTTCATAATGATCATTCACTGTTGCTACTAGCAATGGAGTCCAGCCCAACTTGTGCCTCCTATTTACATCTACACCACTCTTGATTAATCTGAAACAGATTAAACATTATCCACTGACCATGAAATTGCACTTGATACATTATTTTGTGATTTTTAACAGGATTCATTACAAAAAAGATATAACAGAGAAGTATATACAAATCTTATTTACACCCTGTCAGTACAATCATCAGGGTTTGATCTTCCGATTTTTCCATAACTTTTGGTCAGTAGGCTGTAATACCCACCCATGCAGCAACAGGTGAATAGAAGTCACGATCAAATGCTCATATCTGTTTTGACAAGGTTTAGATCACTGATTAACACATACCTTTCGATTTCATGGGTAAGACCAAACTGTGCAGCTCTGAAGAGCCGCTTCTCATCTTTGTCAGTGTTTTTAACATCACAGAAGACTAATCCTAATCCTAGGGACAGTAATACAAGTTGAGTACCATAGGCAAATTGCTTATCGTCATTTCTACTGTTTTTGCTCGTGACGAAATGATTTACATAACGTTTGCTGTAATTGTTGATAGGTAATCCTTGCTGAAAAGCAGCTGGGGAGACAATCTTTCTCCATGCTCGCGACATTCGCCCGTACGAGCTATAAAATCTGAAAATTTTTAACATCACTCTTCAACTAATTATATAAGCGTCTGTTAATAATTTGAGGTGCACAGTGTACATTATATTAAATATGGGTATTGATATTAAACATTGTAATCAAAACGTAAGATAAAAGTGACCAAAAATCGGTAGTTGTTGAGGTTATGGTCAATATTTGACAAGTTTGTGCACGGCAGCCTGTTCGATAACGATAACATCCATCACAAAACATATACACATGCATTAATCGATACATCCACAAGTTTAACCCAAGTGTTTTGTGGTTTCAACATCACTATTAGTATTACGAGGGATAGCAAATAAGTACACAATCCGGTGTATACAGGAATTTTTTCGGCGGGGATCATCCACAAAATACAACTTTTTGTAAACAAAATCCTCAATAATCTCAAAATTGTAAAAAAGCCATGCTAAATATGCAATTGCAAGGTCCAACCTGCGGACGCTCATCTATTCAATAGTACCATTTTGCACACTAATATTAATTTACATTAAGGTTTTCGTTCCGAGTACCCTCAGGTATTATACTCGGGGATCCAAACGTTTTCAGACCATGGTGTTACTTGACGAAAAACCCGGGCATCAATAAAAAATAGGAAATTTTATTCTTAGCATAATAAACTACTGGTGCCTCAGAGAAAAGTTCATCCTTTTTGTTGTTGTTGAGAATGTCCCAAAAAACACAAGAACTGTGCAGTGCGACGAAACAATTTGTTGACAAAAATGTTCCATCAATTTTTCACGCAATTTTGTGGCTGGCAACAATCATATTCGTTAAGAGAGGTCATTTTGAATAAGATTAGGCAGTAAAACCAAATCAGAATTTTTTTTTTGTTTTTCTCATGTTTCACTATTTGTTTACATTTTTAATCAGTTATCAATTTTTTCACGATAATTAGGATACCGATGATTATCCTGTTGTAAATTCTTGTTTCAGATATAGATATCCTAAACAGGGAAATCCATATATACCACTGACGTCGTAATGTGTACAAAAGAGAATCGTGCAATACGAATGTTAGAACGAGTGCGCCGATGGCGACGCGGCAAGCGGCAGCTGCGTCCGTGGCGTCAGCACTCGTGTAGCTTACCAACGTGGTGAGTGCATCTATCTCTTTCCTCTTTCAAACATACGTATTGCACGCTTCTCTGTCGTACGCATTACGTCAGTGGTATATGGATCTCACTGTCTAAAGCCCTATATTATCCATAGAATCATCTTCAATAGGCTGTCAAAGAGCTTTCTCTATAGCAGGAAATGTAACAAAAACATGGAATAGGCTCTCGGATCGTTCCTTTTTTTTTATATCGAAACAGCCGCGCAGGCAGAAGCCTAAATGCCGGAACACCGCGGCTGCTATGATGATCCCAAAGAAATTTTGTTAATACGATTTTTGAAATGCCTAAGGTTAGTAGAACTGGGAAAAGCTTCCTCTTGTAAATTGTTCCACAATCTAGACACCCTCGGGACAAAGGAGCGGTCGTATCGGCCAGTTCTGGATGTACGAAGTTTGACACGGTTAGGATGGGACGCCGAAGTCAGGCGGGTCTGTCTGGCAGGCACATCGCGCGGCGGCATCATGGAAGAGAGCTCTGAGGAGCAAAGCCCGTTGGTGTAGCGATAGAAAAGAGCTAGATCGCCGACGGCCCGCCGGTGCGAAAGAGTCCCGAGACTGTCTGTTAGAGAAGAGTCATCGATCAGTCGGACCGCCCTCCTCTGGACAGCATCGAGCATGGACAATGTAGTCGGGGCTGCAGCACCCCAAATGTGTGAGCTATACTCGAGGCTAGGCCTTATCTGGGCCTTGTATAGAGTGAGAAGGTCAATCGGAGAAAAGTACTTCTTAGCCCTAAACAAATAGCATAGCTTTTTCCCAGCAGCTGCAGCTATTGAAGAGATGTGTTCGGGCCAGATCAGGTCCTTGGTGATCTGGACTCCGACCAGCCGAAATGAATGGCTCTTTGGTAGAACTCGGCCGTCCATCGAAACTGTATGAGCGCTAGGACGCTTTTTGTTTGTCAAAGTACGGTACTGTGTTTTGGAAGCATTGAACTGTACAAGATTGTTGCGTCCCCAAGCAGTGATAGCCTCCAGGTCTCTTGTCAGAGAAGAAGTCGTCGCTAGTCCTCTTTTTTCCAGCTCAGCGGCAGAAATCGGCTTGTCACTCTGAATTCATGCATGTAGAGTGCTGTCATCAGCGAAGCTGTGGATTGGGTTGATCGTGCAGGAAAGGAGGTCGTTGATATGTAAGAGAAACAGTGTTGGAGCCAAGACCAATCCCTGGGGAACACCCGCGTTGACGTTGTGGGATGAAGAGGAGAATCCGTCAATTACGACGGATATCTTGCGGCCAGAGATAAAGTCAGCCACCCATCTGCAAAGCTTTTCTGGGACGCCATAGGATGGAAGTTTGCTTAAGAGGGCAGCGTGCCACAGCTGATCGAACGCTTTCGTGATGTCAAGAGCAACGACATGAGCCTCACCATGAGACTGGATGAGTTTACTCCACAGTTGCGTGACGTAAGCTAGGAGGTCCCCTGTGGATCGTTGGTGCCGGAAACCGTACTGCCTGTCGCTAATCAAGCCATGACGTTCGAGGTAGTCCAGAAGCTCGCGATTTATGCACCTCGCCATCACTTTACTTATAACAGAAAGCAGAGCTATAGGCCTGTAGTTGTAAGGGTCGGTCTTAGATCCTTTTTTTGGGATGGGTTGTACATGAGCAAATTTCCAGTTTTCTGGGAAGGTGCCGGATTCATAAGATATCTGGAAGAGACGCGAAAGAACTGGAGCAAGCTCCGCTGCACATCTCTTCAGTACAATGGCAGGAATCAAGTCCGGACCAGAAGCTTTGTTGATGTCGAGCGACAAGAGCACTCGTCTTACGGTCTTATGCCTGAATGTTACCTCCCGCATAGTGTGGGAACCCTTTGAGTTGACGGTACTTGGGCGTTGGTGGGGACGTCCATGGTGGAGTTGGCAGCAAAGATCTTGGCTAGCACTTCCGCCTTGGCCTTTGACTCGAATATAATAGTTCCATCCTGACACGTAAGTGGTGGAAGTTCTTTTCAATCTGCTTGGCCAGCGTCCAGAAAGACCGACTGCCATTGCGCTGCGACATTACCCTGTGCCTAACTTTTATATCATGCTGGTTTTTGGCATTGCGAACCGCTTCGTTATATTTGTTTCTGGACTCGACGTCGGCTTGTCTGTTCTCTACAGTGTGGTTTTGTAAGTAGGTTCTGTGTGCCTTGATCTTCTGCTGGCGAGCAGTGTCACACGATTTGTTGAACCAGCCATTGGACCCTGGTTTAGGAACTTTCACTGTGTGAGGGATGTATTCCTCCATTCCGACGTGGATAATTTCGGTTATCGAAGAACAGACAGTCGACGCATGCGCGTCAGTGAAACAAACATCTCTCCAAGCAGGAAAGCTAGAGAAGAAGTCTCTGAGCCCCTCCCAGTCGGCATGTCCGTAATGCCAAGTTTTGCGGCCTGTACGAGTTTCTGCTACCACAGCGGGTTCTGACCGAAACCGAACCTCCACAACACCGTGATCTGAGTTACCCAGGGGGACAGGACAGCAGTGCTGTAAGGGGCAGGATGCGTGGTCAGAAAGAGATCCAGCAGGCTACTGGCGTGTGACGAGACGCGGGGGAAAAAAGTAGGGCTCGTCACCAGCTGGGTCAGCCCTTGACTAAGAGCGAACGCTTCGACTGCACGACCTGCTGCATCGGTCTTATTTGAGCCCAACCAAAGCTCATTATGGGCATTGAAATCACCGAGAAGAACTACCTCTGAAGCGGGGTGATTGATGTTCAGGAAGTCGATCTGGACGGCGAGGTATTCGAGTAGGTCATCCCAGTTATGGTTCGAGGGAGAGCGATAAAGGCAGCAAATAAATTTGGGTGATGTTTTGGAGTTGAGGCGAAGCCACAGAATGTTCTTCCGGTCTGATTCCAAAGAATGATCCCTGGAGCAGGAAAGAGTGCTGCGGACAAAAGCCACAACTCCCCCGTTCTTTCTCGGATTGGAGTGCACCTCGTAGTTTGGGAAGTTGAGATGGTTAATCGGTGCAGTCTCTGAGATTTTTGTCTCCGCCAAGAAAAGCAGGGCGGGACGATTGGATTGCAGGTAGTGATGGACAGCATCAATGTTGCTGTTGATCCCGCAGATGTTCGAAAAACAAATTTTATCTTCGATGTTGTTCCCTCGAGCCCACCCTCCACCCGGACATTCCGAGAGTGGAGTGAGTTTACGTCCGGCAATGGTATTTTTGCAATTTTACTTCATTAGTAAATCCGATATAAATTAAGGGTAACTTTCATTGACCTCCAGGATTGTCTCAAATTATCCTATGCTTTAAAATGAATAACTTTAAGCCTTTTTCCAAGTTCTTTTACATGTTAATTCATGTTCTTGTTTTGCTATAGTTTATTTTTTATCATGTTCATTAAGATTCTGTACGAGTATATTATGCATAATTTTTTAAGAAATACAACAAAGGCATTATTGTGTTTCTATTATTTTGTTAGGAAGTTTATTTTTTCATGTGTTAATATATATTTGAATGCATCAAACTGATGGATAATATGTAGTGTTATTTACATCTGAAAATGCCTGCCTATTCAGGTATTTAAAAAAATATCTGATTCCTGGGTTTCTGTCTGGGTATGTGAAAACCTTGTTTATACTTTCTCCATGGTCAGTAAACAATATTTGGAATCATTGTAGATTGAAATACAAAAATTGACTACTATAGGAGTTTTATACAAGTTTTATTGATACAATATACACACTAGCTAAACAATATAAACAAACTCAAAACTGTCTTTTCTCTAGAAAATATTTTACTGCATTCACAAAGTCTCCTCCTATCTTTATAATTCCTGCAAATTCATTAACCTGGCTACGTATAGGATAAAATGACTCCTTCTGCAAAAAGGCAAGCAAATCCTTTTCCAGTTTGAACACATCTCCTTGGATTTTCCTAATAACTGTGGTTTTCTTTGTATTTCTTCGCTCCAGTTCAAGATATACTGGTATCATGTGGTTTTTTGTTCTCTCAATAAAGTAATGTCTATCTTTCAGATTGTCAGCCTGAGGTCTCCATCCAGAGGGATATTTGTCTTTTTTTACTGGCTCAGGCACAACTGTTGGGGGTAAGGCTCTTTCAACAAATGACCAGTCAACTGGATCTTTTGTAACTTCATATTTTACTTTTACATCCCTTAGATCTTCTAGGAACTGCGAGCTTTGGTAACTGGAAGGCCTTACAATCTAAAAAAATAGATTTGTTTCTTTAAATCAAGCAACAAGCACAAAATGAAGTATTAAAAATACCTGGGATAACTTTGGATGTATCCGAGTATAATTTTGGTTTACCAATTTTCCTATTTTTAGTGTGATTACAGCCATAGTTTTCGTATTATTTTGCTTCAACTTGTACAAAATTCAGAAAAATTGGAAAAGTGTTTTCGTTTTCACGTTGACACATCTGCGAGATAAGGTTATGTATGTAATAGAGATGTGCATAGAGGATCGATACTTTGTGTACATTTTGAAATTTAACGTCGGACAACCTTCCATATTTTTACTTTCCACGCCAATTAGCGACGAACTGTTGTAATCACAAAAAAAAGATTGGATATTAAGTTTTACAATTGATCAACTTATTCTACTAGAAGATAGCATCGTAACGCTATATTCCCAAGTCCGAAACATTATCCGAGATGAGATACCGTAGCGTCATCTATGAAAATCTGCCACAGCTCTTTCTCTATTTACTCTGCATAATTGGCTACAGCGCCATTTATGAGACACTAGCTTTTTCAAAGTATGTATTCAAATTTGGCAGACGTCGCAGTGTGTTCGAGAGATAAGCGCGAGAAGCGAGTGCGCCGATGGCATCCTTGACGTCGTACTCGGGTTGCCCGGCAACTTCTATCTCTTCCTACACACGTACAACGTCAGAGGTATTTGGTTTTCAGTGTATAGTAATCACCGAAACAGGTGTCACAAATTTTCATTATGTATGTTGCATCTTTGGTATCAGTGAAAGACGTTCCATTATTAGGAAGCTTCTGATCTCGATAATTTCTTATCCATCTCTTAGTAATGCATATGTTAAAATACTGGTAAGTTTAAATCGCACTACTGATCAACATGTCTCTAGTAGTCCATTTGACCGCTCGAGCTCGATCATGATGTTCAGCCCGATTCACCGAATCGCCACACCAGCCCGCATCGCTCGTCGATATACCGGGTTCGCTGCCTCACCAATGTGATGACCCTCTTGACACATATGATTTTTAAATAAACAGATCATCATCTAACTGTTAACAGAATTTCTGAGAAGTACAGAGTCAACCTGCTTGGCACCATTTTTTAGACATGACAAAATATTTGTGCATATAAGTTGTTAGGTCGATAGTACCGAGCATACTTTTATATGACAAAGCAAAATTAGCTTCCCCACCTTAACTTCTTGTCAGCCATTCAATAAGGCCGTGCACGTAGATTTTACTAACGTTTTGGCTAGTGCGGTGGCTTTTTCAAAGTACAATGTAGGTGACCGTCGTGTGAAACAATTGCATTGTAAATTCACATAAGATGATTGTATCAAAATTAAACGCTCCGCAATTTGGCATACAAAAACACACAGCCCTTATAGGAATTAAGTTTTTTATTAACATTACAGATTAGCAAAATAAATTACAATCAGTTATTTTTGGATTTGATATTAAAATAATCTGAAATTTTACGTTTCGGTGTTTTGTTCTCCTCTTTGCTTGTCGACATTTCTGCGAAATCAACATCCATTTCTTCATCAATAGTAAAGGCACTAGCAACAAGTGTTTGATCCTCCACTTTCAATACTTTCGTCTTTCTCGGCATCTTATCAATCTGCGTCAAGAGAGAATCTGGTTGTGATTTTTCATTTGATGGTTTGGAGACGCCTTCCAAATCATCCATTAGTAAGGCTATATCTGTCTTTGGCAATTTCTGAACAATTTCTTCCTCAGTGAATTTTGCCTTTATTTTCGTTTTCTTTTTGTATTTAAAGTCTGTCACAGTAGTTGGGGGTGTACCCTCAATGATATCCTCTTCAAAATCACAAGTCTCTTCAGTTACCCTGCTTGCCTCGACATTTTTTGGGCCGTCTTCACTTTTTGCAGTATTTGAAGATGGTTGTTTTTCCTTGCCGGGTCCGAAAAAATCCCTTATATCAGTGCCACTTTTACTTGAACCACTAGTATTTGTGGTCAGTGATGGCTGAGGTGGTTGTATTTCTCTACTACTGCTTTCTCTTGATGTTGATGGTTGCTCAATTTTTTCACCAACAGATTTTTTCGAATCAGGCTGTTTTTTACTATCAAAATATGCCTGTTGTATGAAGGAATATAAGTTTCGCTCAGGCACATTTGAGGATGAAAATTTGCAAAGGATTCGCCATAATTCAGCTAAAAATAAATAGAGCATTCTTAACATTTAGACCTTAACATACGAGGTGTAGCAGAAAAGTACTGAGACTGGCAACACTGCAAGCAATCTTGCAACACTTCGCTGTTGTCCTTCATAGTGCACGAGTGTCAGTCACCTTCCATCGCTTAGTGCAACGCTTTTTTAAGGGAATAATATTGATGTTTGATAAAATACACACTTTGCTAAATAAAAAATCAGTCTCTTTACTTCTCTGCCACACCTCGTATAATGCCAAAATGTTTAAAAGCTGCAAAATCATAGACTAACATCTCCCTTTTAAGCGCATTGGCATTAACACAAGGGATCTGATAGTACCCACTGACTTACTGTTGTGACAAAATAAGGGATAACGTGGAATGAGTCGGTGGAATAACTTCGTGTAATACTATTAAGCAGCACTTCGAAAAGTCACGAACATTTTGGTTTGGTCATATTTGGCGTCCAAGAGAGGTGTTCTCGAATGTCGATTTGTTAACGTCGCAGGAAACTCATAAAGTTACAAACGATGTCAAGAATTACAAAGATATAATGCATATTTTTCTTCCTGTTTCGTCACCGTTTAATGCTTTCAAAACACAGTATTGTACCTTGACGAACAAGAAGCGTCCTAGCGTTCATCCGGTTTCAATGGATTCCTACCAAAGAGCCCTTAATTTCGGCTGGTCGGACTCCATTGCACCGACGACTTGATCTGGCATGAACACATCTCGTCAATAGCGGCAGCTGCAGGAAAAAGCTAGGTCACTTGTTCAGGGCTGAGAAGTACTTTTCTCCAAGTGACCTCCTCACTCTGTACAAAGCCAAGATAATACCTAACCTCGAGTATTGCTTACATCTTTGGAGTTTTGCCGTCCCGTCTACATTATCCATGCTCGATGCTGTTCAGACGAGGGTTGTCCGACTGGTGGATGACTGTTCTCTAACGGACAGTCACGGGACTCTTTCTCACTGGCGAGCTGTCGACGATCTAGCTCTCTTCTACCGTTACGCCAATGGACTTTGCTCCCCAGAGCTCTCCTTCATGATGCCGCCGCGTGATGTGCATACCAGACAAAGCCGTCTGGTTTCAGCCTCCCATCATAACCATGTAGAACTCATATATCCAGCACTAGCCCATACGACCGCTCGTTTGTCCCAAGGATATCGAGATTGTGGAACAATCTACATGAGGAGGCTTTTGACAGTTCAACTAACCTTAGGCAGTTAAAAAATCTGAAGAACATCATTTTCCTAAACCTGTCAATATATTTGTGCGACTCATCTCGAGTGCGAGAACACCCACTGGAGCGATTGTAAATGAAAATGTTGATAGATGACACTTTCGTGTGCAGTAGATAATGATCGACAGGTTTCACAAAGAGCCCTGTCTCACCGGGACGCCATGACGATATCACCAGTGTCGGTAGTTTCCTGAACTGGCGTCGGTTTGGAGACGTCGCAGTTAGGCACCGCGTTAAGGAGCTGTCGTATACATTTTTCAATAGGTTATTTTAGATACGAATGCTGCAGACATTGACATTGCCTCCCGCTGACGGTGGGTTCCAAGACTTTCTAACAAACTACATAATTTCTACGTATACAGGGTGTTCCATACTTGAATGGACATAGTGAAGAGGTAGGTAGTGTGAACCAGAACTTCTCATATTTGAAAATAAAGACGTAGTAAATTGTTTACAGATATATAAGGTGATTCATCTTAGCCCGCCAAATGTTTAATCACATATCTTAGGCACTATTCAACCGATTTTGTCAAAATTTCACACGATAACAAAGTTGCCTAGGAGAAACGTAAAACTATTGAGGACCGATAAAAATCCAGTGCCGGATTCGATTTTTTCACTTTCTTGTGTTTTATCAAAATTTATTCCTTTTAAGCTCAATATTGAAATGAACGGCTGAATGCAAAAAAAGCCAATGAATGCCAATAAATTAGCAAAATATTGATCATGGTCTTTAGTTATTTTTTTTATTTATCCAAGTAACTTATTTTCAACATTATATGACACAAAGCTCAAAATTTCAATGGTTATCAGCTTGGTTTCATAAACATTATACAATATAATGCTTAAAATTGAACTAAAGATGATTTGGGTTCACAAAATTCCAGAGTCGGTGTCACGTAACAAAATCACGTAACCTTTTTTTTACTATTTTAATCACTTACTAATTTGAATTCCTCTTTATTATTGGTCGAGTGCCCATTCCTAGGCCAAACCCTTTTCATTGGTTTTCTTTTGGTAAATTTCATAGTTTATTTCACACGTATTATATATTTCTTTCTCAGCGATTCAGTAGTTTTAAAAAAAACTCTGTAGTTTTTCTACGTTATTTGGTTCCCTATCAAGCCCACTCATTGAACATTCCTTTATAGTTAGGTGTTTCAGTCACTTTCCTCCTCAGATTGTGGTGTGAGCGCGATTTGCTTAATCGTCAGATTCGTGGATATTAGGTGTAGGTATGTGGTGTAGTATCCCTTCATATAGTACCTTACGTTTAGTTGTTTTGGTGTGGGTGCTACCTCTTCCATTTTCTCATAAGATTTTTATATTCAGCGTGGGAGACATTGTGGAGAACCACCATACACTCCCTCCAGCTTTGTTTGTAGCTGTTTTGCAGTAGGTATTGCTGGAAGTCCTCCCCTCAAAAAAATACTCTGTTCACATCATTTTTTTTATTTCGTTGTATTTTATAAAGTGCACACCCTATAAGTTACACTATGAATTTATGGACATTTCGCAGAAAAAGGAACACCACATGATATATGATATAAATAAAAAGGAAAATTAATGTTATGTGCCCTATTTAATTCTATCGGCATTTTTTTAAGAATTTAATTGCTAACTGATATACAACAACATGAGTCCTACTTTAGGGAAGGTCAAATTTAGTGGAATCGCACATTTAATGCCGTTTCCGTTTTAAGCAGAACTCATGTTGTACAATAATGTACAATGTTGTGTGAATGAAATCATCCAGACATTACAGAAAAAACCAAACAGGGTGCATAACATTAATTTTCGGCATTATTTATATCACGTATGGCTCTTTTTTCTGCAAAATAATAAATTCATAGTATAACTTACAGGATGTTGTACTTAATAAAATACAAGACAATAAAAAAACTGAATCTTTAGTTCAATTTTGAACATTATTTTGTAAAATATTGATGAAAGCAAGTTAATAACCCTTGAAATTTTGAGTTTTGTGTCGCATAAACTGCTGAAAATAAGATATTTGAATAAATAGAAACGTTTAAAAAACCAAGACATGATTTTTCAATCGTCTGTCTAGTTTTACGTTACTCCTAGGTAACTTTACTGTCGAGCAAAATTTCAACAAAATCGGGTCGATAGTGACTGAGATACGTGATATTGACGATTTAGTGTTTAGATAAATCAAAATGTATATTCGTAAATAACGAATTTGGACCTTTTTTATATACAGATATGAAAAGGTCTCTGTAAATACTACCTACAATTTCACTATGTTCAGTAGGGAACATCCTGTATATATACAGGTATCACTTACAGATTGTGATGTTATTCTTCGAAATAAATAGGTACATATTGTATAAATCATCTCTCAGCTCTCTATTTCCAAAAGTATAATACACCATATCACGTTCAGCAGCATTACATGCTATTAACTGTAAGAGGGACTTCAACGTTGATAGGCCTCGGTAGACGCCACAACCCCAATTTCCAGTAGCTACTGGAGACAAGTTTCCTTTCATGCTTGACGAAAAACCCACGTAGGCCTGAAAAACATCCACAACTCCTATCATCAAAAAATAAATGTTATGTTTGACTAATTCTATACCGAGCTACTGACCTTATTTAATTCTCTCAACATAGCCGACGGATAAAACTGGTCTTTCGACTTCTTAAAATGTATGGCATCTATCATACATACAGACGTTCTTCTCCGACCATACTCATCATGGGGAGTTTCATCCACAAAGTTACCATCCCATTTAAACTCCTGACCATATCCATTATATTTACTGAACCGTTCAGGGCCTAGAATAGGACTATGAGATTTGTTTCTTGGCACCAAAGAGTATTCGCGAAAACATCAATTTTCATATTCCATCAGAAGATACCCAATTCAATTGAAAGACCTGTATGTATGAAGGTAAAACGGGCATGTGGGTGAATATACGGTATTTGGGTTTTCAGTATCAACTAAGAAAAATAGCTAATTTTGTTTTCATATTCATTATGTTACACGATGATATGTGATATGCATTTAACAGGGTTAGATAATATTTTGATTTTGGCTGCTTTTATAGGTACGCGGGGAAAGTGTGTCAGGGGTGACATTTAAACTAGTAACGCCCTCCTACAGCTGGGACCTTGAGCGGCGAGGAGTCACCTTACCGATTCGACGCTTAGGCAACCTTTTACGCGACTGTATGAGCGCTTACGCTGTGTAAAAAAAGAGTACACCGACGCCAATACTAAACATATCAGAACGTAAGGAAGTTGATTCAGATCGTGGGTATTCACAGTGCATAATTTACTTAAGAAAGTTGATTCAGATCATGTGTATTCAAAGTACATAATTTAATTTTTTCATTGATATTCATTCTACTCGACGGCACTATGTCAGGGCACACGGATTTTCACACCTGGCGAACAATAGATACCAGAGCGTAGCGTACGAAAGTGGACTCAAATACTATGCTAAATGCATATACAAAGTTCATTTGTCCAAAATTGCGTCGGAAGTACAGTGTCAACCTATCATACTATTCTTATACAGGGTTTGTCCGGAAAGCAATAGGACTCATTTTCTTCCGCCATGACTGTACTTCGGAGCGGGCGCGCACCGACTGGATTCGGTAGAGGGCGTTCCTAGCTAACGAATGAGCGGCTGGTCAGTTGTCTCCGAGCACCTGGAGAGTCAGGACAGGCATTTTCGCGCGACGTATTTTTGTGAGTGGTGCAAGCCGAACATGCAGCGTTCGTTAGAGCAGAGGTACGCGATTAAATTCTGTGTGAAACTCTGTAAATCTGCGACAGAGACGTTTGATATGATCAAACAGGCTTACCCAGGTGTTGCTTTAGCAAGAAGTGGTATGTTTCGGTGGCACCAGGCCTTTTTGGAGGGCCGGGAAGAGGTCGCTGATGAAGACCGTGCTGGAAGACCTTCGACTTCGACAATCACCGATAATGTGACTCGTGTGCGCAAAGTTTTGAACTCAGACCGTCGACTAAGTATTCGCTTAATTGCCCAGATGTTAAATTTAACAAAATCTGTGGTTCATGACATTGTGACACAGCATTTGAACATGAGCAAGGTGTGCGCGAAGGTGGTCCCAAAAGTGCTCACTGACGACCAGAAATTGCGGCGAGTGGAAGTGTGCCAAGAAAATTTGAACATGTGTGAAAGTGACCCCCAATTTTTGAATAACGTAATCACAGGTGACGAGTCGTGGATCTTTGAGTATGGTCCCGAGACAAAGAGGCAATCTTCCGAGTGGCACACGATGGCGTCTCCTCGCCCAAAAAAGGGAAGAATGAGCAAATCCAAAGTGAAAACGATGCTCATTGTCTTTTTTGACATCAAAGGCATCGTCCACCATGAATTTGTTCCTCCCGGACAAACCGTCAACGCCAAATTTTACGTGGTAGTGCTCAGGAGACTCAAACGAAGGGTCAGTCGGGTCCGACAAGACATCGCAGCCGACTGGAAGTTGCACCACGACAACGCCCCGGCTCACCCCGCCTTTCTTGTGAACAGCTACCTGACCAAGGCCGGCATCCCAACGCTTCCGCAGCCGCAATACAGCCCAGATGTGGCCCCCGGACTTTTTTTTGTTTCCTCACCTGAAAAGGCCGATGAAAGGCAAGCATTTTGAGACGACAGAGGGGATCCAAGCAGCATGCACCGCGGCTCTCAAGGCTAATCCGGAGAATACCTTCCGTGACGCCTTCAATCCTTGGAAATCGCCCTGGCAGCGCTGCATCGACGCCGAAGGAGCCTATTTTGAAAGTTTTAAAGAATTGTAACGATTGGCTCAATAATTTTTTTTAAATCGACTCAGTCCTATTACTTTCCGGACAAACGCTGTATAGGAATTATTCCGATTCTACTCGGCAACAGGGGAATGTCAAAACACAGCATGGAGTTGGGCAACTTCTTAGAGAACATGTTATTAAACAATACAAGTGATTCAGCAAAAACATTTTAATGTTAAGCCGCTCGAGAGTAGCGATGCTTTTTGATGAATGTCGTCATTGTTTACCTGTAACTATCACAGCCTCTTGGTCTCCAAGTGCTTCTACAAACATACGACTTACAATAAGTTCAGGACATATTACAAATCGTATTTCTTCCTGGACACATCCATACTCTAGTACTCCCCCTCCAACTAGCCTAAAATGAGTTTTAACCAGTCGTTTCTAGCTTAAAATACCATAACAAAACTAGTGTATGTAAATTGCCTTAAGAAAATGAATTTGTAGCACTATTTAATTTACATAAGATTAGTGTCTTGTCATTGAAATAAGCATAATACATACTTGTGTGCAAAATCAACTTGTAAAAGACCAATGCCATCATCTTCGATAGTACCAGCACTATTTACATGCAGTTTCGTTCTGCCTATTATATTATCTAGCATATCCCACCTAGGCATTGTGCTTCTATGTATAAATCGTCGTTCAAATGTGAGTACACCAACAGGGCCTAGAAAATCACAAATTTGCAGTTTGAGATTGTCGGGCTTTGAGTAAAACGTCTTGTTAGACACCCTTAAGGCATGATACCCAAAAAGTATGGAGTGATCCATACACCAATGGAAGCTTATAGAATATTTTTCAGACCTAGAGACATTTACTAAACATTTAGTGGTATTTATATTTCTATCTGATCATATATGTGATAGATCCAATTTACGACGTATAAATTAGACATTGAAGACTTGCTCATGGAACCCATACTGAAGAAAGTAGAGACATTTAAATCTGAATAGTGAGTTTATATTCCCATGATCTACTTACATCTTTCTGTAACTCTTCTAAAATAATGTATGAGACACCTTAACTTCTCCATCACAGAATCTTTTCTTTTAGGCCTCTGGCTAGCTGCAAATAATCTCATAAAATTTATCCCAGGACACGTTGACATTCCTTTTTTCCATGGAAACGTACACAGAAATGCATTGGCTAATAAGGTAGCTACTTGCAATTGAGACAAACTCACAGATCTATTGTGGTTGGACTTCAATAGGAGAAAGCTTTGAGGTAATAAATCTGGAAGTTGTAAGGCTAAGTTGATAATCTTTGGTAGAAGGCCTTGAAAAAATGAGTCGGTTTCATGATGATCTAAAACCTGCATAAGATATTATTTTACACAATCTAAGAACAGTGGCCACTCGTGATTGTGCAACTCACAGTCTGAATGAAGTTTAATTCTTTATTCAATCACTTCACGTTCCAGTCCACTGATATGAATTATTCAATTTTAGTAGATAAATGTGTTTAAAAGCCATTGATCAAACTAAGAACGTGAGGTGGTTGTGTGAAACTTCTACGTACGAGTTGCCACTGATTGAATAATCTAATAAAAGTCTTCATATGTATTTGCCTGACTGATTTTATTACTTAAAAGACAAATTGGATATTTATGTCATTGCTCATACACTACATTGTATTTAATTACTCAGGCAAAGTACTGAAGCTTTTTCTAAGAGCTGATTAAAGAAATATTTTACCTGTTCAAAAAAGTAGTGCAGGGCTGTGAATTTTGGTAAAGAACTGGTATAGTAGCTGTTTATAGCAGATTCCAGTTCTTGACTATTTTTAATTGGTTTTAATAAATTTTCATTTATAATGTGCCATCTCAATTTTATAACCGTCTGACCATCCTAAAAATTAAATTGTAGATTCAGAAAGGTCTTCCTGTACTCATTTTTTTTAACAGGTCAAGTTGGAGAGATGTAATTTGGGCTGATGAAATTGATGCATAACATAAAAGTAATACGTCAAAGTTTCAAGATGGCGGCTGCGCACCATTTCAAAACTTTTTTTTATGGAATAAAATAAAATACAATAATAATTTCAAAATAATGATATTTATTTATGAATTGTACAAACTGTTTTGGCTAAAATGCTAAAGTTATCATGTTACGTTACTGCCGACGTTAGGCTTTTGCAGTCAACAACTGCTTACAAAAATAGCTATTTATAATCATAATGCTTTTAGCTGAATCAATTAAATTGGCTATAGGAACTTCACTTTGATCACAATAATTAATCCTTATCTAGTGATGCTCATATAATAGGTTCAAGTTTGAATCACACATTAGTAAAACCATATACATGGCTCAAGTATACAACTCTCTCTCATATTGCAGTAAATAAAAGATAACATTTCATAGCCAATTAAAACAAAATTATGTTATAATTTACCATGTGAACAGTCCTGACTGTCACAAAAAAATTAGAGTTGAATAATAAAACAATTATTATAAGAGTTGTTGCTTGTTGTGAGGAGAAGAGAAACATTCATCCACTACAAACCATACAATACAGCGTTTTATATTGTTTAAAAAAATATGATACTCATCTACACAAGCTTTTTAACAGTCCATAAGCTAGAGGTTTGTTTAAGAGAGAAGCAGTAACAATAACAAGGTTTGATGAACATTTGCGATATCAAGGGCAACAATATGTGAATGTTTTCCAATAACTGGACAAGTTTCCACAAGCATAACAAAAGCTACTAGGATATAAATAAATCTTATTGGAAACCAGTTAGATGAATGTTATATGATGATGATTTACTATGGTCTGTACCAGCAGGTCAGGAGTGCATTTATAAATCACTTGGTAATGTGAAATCATACAGTAATGGAATGTGGATTTTGCCAGATGAAATTTTACCCTGAGGTGCTTTCCAGTGCCTTGTTTGGGTTACTCTGAGTAACTCAGAAGTAACCACCACCTGTCAATACATTCCACTGCTCTAGAGTATCATGCACCTGAGCTACTCCTTTTTGAAATCACCTGCCCCCTCATGCACCAGCTTTTTATTCGGTGTTGTAGGTTATGTTATATCATTGGGTTTGTTTTTGCATTAAAATCACATTAAACTGATACCAGACAATAGAGGATGGTAAAAAACTGATAATGTTATGACCCAGAGTCACAACGTACATTTGAGATGTTCCTGAATAATAAAGATCACAAGAGAGTGCAAGAATACAGGTTCATAGCATCTTGTGGTTGGCTTCATCTATAACTAGACACCTAAAATAATTTTAAACACTAAAATATGAATTTGACACATTTATCCAGAAGCTTTACAATAAAAATGCAGACTTCTGACATGTTGCGCCATCATCAAGCATCAATTGGATGGTCTGACAATCTTCTGAAAATAAAAAAGCAAAATGTGTTTACATTTTTATTGTTTGGCAGTGAGATACAAATTGTCAACGTCAAAGCATACAACTCTCAATTCAAAAGCACTGGAAAGCACCTTTGAACTCCTGTAAAACTTAAGAACACCGAAATTATTGCAGTCATTTAATGACACTTGATGATCATTTGATTAATTACTATTCCTAACCACTTTTTCTGTGACTATTGCATTTATTATAAGAAACAAAATATTCCAAGGCAGCCCAGTAACCCATGTGACATTCACCTTATTTACAATATGCATACCTCTTGGTTGAAAATAGATTTTTCTCAGAATGTGGCATTAGAACACAATCATCATCACTTGGCTGTGACTGAGAGATGTGTGGTTTTGGGGGCTCTTTCAAAGTTGCGGGTAACTCGTACAATACGGTATGATACTTGGAAGCATTTACTGGTGGTATGCTGAAACACCATGACCCTTTTCCTTTATATAACTCAGCCAGACTCGCTCCTAGCCAGGTCCTTTCCGAGTTATCGGGATCATCTTTTTCCATATCAATTTCCATGTCCTACGAATTCTTATCCGGCACTTGAGGTCTTATGCCTTCAAGAGAAGAATTTAGTAACAGAAACTGCTGATACTAATAAAAAAACATTCCGAATGGAGGAGCACTGGAGAAGTGCAATCACTCGTCAGTCACTTCAAAAACAAATACAACAAAATTTCTTGAACAAAACCTAACCTCAACAAATTCATCATATTATGACATAGAGCTTAAAGTGAAAGAAGTGAAATGGCCTGGATTAAAATACCTTTTCCCCATGTTTATCCCTAAGAATTCATTCAGTATAAATGTTATAAGCAGTAATACGTATGTGGTTCCACTTAGCTTCTGTAAACCATCAAGGTGGGATTCAGACACAATTCAGATAAAAACATTGTGTTTAACATTTATGGCTTTAGTAGATATATCCCATTCTGTGTAGCGTTTTCGGTCAGTGTTCAGAGAGTTTCACTCTCTTTCCCCCGGTATCTGCCCAGTATCCACAAAACATAATATACACTCTGTATCCTCCGTAATCAGTTATCGATTTTTTGACAGCCATGTGTTTTATAACCATACTTTTTTCAAAATCTTTTTATTCCAATATGTTTTGAACAATTTTAATCTGAAATGTAGATATCTTCGAGTAGTATCACACATCAAGCGATATTCCACCGACATTGCTAATCATGAAGTGATATCGGATCTACTTGGTAAGTGCTTGAAAGTTATAACGTTCCTTATCGATATCTTTTTTAATAACTTAATTAATTCTAGGAATTAGTATTCAAGAAGCGATGTATTATGTTGAAAAGAGAAGATTGAAGAATAAGGAACACAGTCACTTATAAAATCCATTCAGTATTGTCAGTCAATAGGATTCAAAAATGATGACATTTTGTGGTGTCCAATGTTGCTGACACAGCATCCACTGACGGTAGAACACCACTATTTAGCTATGAAAGAAGGAGGGTTCTCAAACATTGAACCCATCATTTTAGCAAGGTATAGATTTTCTAATTTTTCATGATTTCACATTCCCCTATTGTGGATTGCAAAACATAATTGGAAGAAATGAATGGGTGAGAATGATTAGTGCCATAATTTTGAATCAACTTCTAAGGCTCTTTTCATCCATATACTTTGTTTCAGAGCAATTCATTTTATGAAAAAAGAAGTATTAAATTTGAAAAAATGTGCCATAATTATGGATAAAACTGATGTAGCTCGAAGTTTGGTAGAGCATATAGAAAATAAAGAAATTGCTGAAAGGTTTATGAAAGACATGATGATTATACACCCTGGAATATAGTACATATGAATATACTCAAATCATTTTTAAGTAGGTATTTCAATTAAAATATCGAACACACTACATCAATAACCAAATGTGATTTTTCTAGAATGGCGATTGAATGCAGGTGAAGATGATATAGTGAAATTATTTACTGTGCACAGGATGATCATAAACAAAAGTTTTCGAATAATCCAAGAAAACATTGCCATAGCAGAGGAACTGGGCTTTAATTCAGACAAAATATTGAAAAATGGATTTCTGTTGAACAACTATCCAACCTATGCCAGAACTATTTTGGAAGATTTTTCAAACTTAGCTGGAGCAGATATGAAGAGAGCCATTAAACATCATCCAAAACTCCTGACAAGGCCACCTAGAAACATAATCAAAATTTATGGGATTTTGAAGGTAAAATGAACTTTTTTCAAAGTTATGAGATTAAACAATCCAAGTTGATAATAGATGGAATAGATACATAAATAATAACAGTGAGCATCAAGTGCACCATAATTTGCAAATTTGAGACAATGCATTTTTTGAGCCTTATCACTGTTACTGATCTCCTTCAGTCTGAATCTCTCTCTCTCTCTCGCTCTATCTATCTATCTATCTCTCTCTATCTATCTACCTATAATTCTATCTATCCATCTCTCTCTCTTGCTCTCCCTCTCTCTCTCTCCCTCTCTCTCTCTCCCTCTCTCTCCCTCTCTCTCTCTATATATCATTTTCAACAACTTCAGCTTCTTATAAACGTTTATATATATTTATTTTATTGTATCTATATTTTATGTGTAAAATAAAGAAAATTAATTTAGGAGTTTGAAATACCAGATGAGTTGATAAGAAAAGGAATGAGTGTCTTCTCGATGTCTCCAGAAACTGTTAGGGCAAGGTTGCAAGCAATAGAAGGCGATCCTGATATGAAGACCCTCTTAAAACATCCAAGAATAATTGATTTTCTTTTACACCACCAAAAAGTCACGAAAAGGCTGTCTTTCTACAAGACCTCCAACTGAGGTGTGCTAGTTTTCAAGTTTTAGGTAATATTTCAGCACCTTCTTTTTCATAGTTATAGAACAAACATGTGGATATCTCCCAACCATATACACAGTAAGCATGGCCAGTAGCATATATACAACTTACAGCTTGGAGGACCAAAAACCCGACTTTTTTAATTTTTCAGTTAAACGTTTCAATTAATACATTTTAATCATCTTACACTTAAAAGTGGCAACTTGTTTTGTGCTACCTGATAAAATGTACACAATTTCAACTTCTAGGTTGAAAATAATGCAAACATTGTTGTTTACTGTGTGTATTTCTCAGTATTTTTGAAGTGCCATAATTCAAAAAATATTGGAAAAAACGAACATGTGTCTCACTAGGATAATGGCCAAAGATTTATTTTTCTGATTTTAAGAGGAAAAGTAACTTCTAATTTCCATATATTTTGTGACCCATCACATATTAGATATTTATGTATATACAATATGAAATGACTAAAAATGCTTTAAAGGCATGCTTTAAGTGTTTGAGACTACCATCTACAAGTTCACAAAAAAAGTGTGTCATACATATCATAGTTGTAAAGCATGAAAAAAGATGAAACAGTGCTTCTGGATCTGTGCTGGAAATATTTTGACATAGGACCCTACATTTAGAGCTCTATGTAATACTTTATCACCAATCCTAGTATTAAAACCAAATATGGCACCCCTCAGTTCCAAAACATCCCAATCTCCAAATTTTTCAAATGTGGAAATTACATACTGATTTGCAAATTTTGGAATGAATAAATAAATAGTTCACTCCAAAAATTTTTGAGTCACAAAGAATGTGATCAGCAGTATATACTGTTCGGGGGCCTAGGCTGCCCAGGCTTCTGCCTTTGTACATGTATGCCACTGACCATCACACCTAATTTTTTAAATAAGCAGGTTTAAAAATGTTATCTTCTCTAATTTTGATTCTACTATTTCATTAAAAGGTACTAGTAATGAAGATGAATTTAACGACTACATTAGGGAAGGCAAAGACATAAATCATCCGGCTGACATTATATTTTTCTGAAGAGCATATTCAAAATTGATGATCCAAGTCTTAAAGATAAAATAAAAAGGCATCCACACTATTCACGAATACCACTGAAGGATATGTTAGAAACATATAAGTTTTTAATCCATCGCAAGTTTCGTAAAATGCACATATACAAAGCTGTACATATCTTATTATATCCAAAGTAAGTACAATATAAGTGAGGATTATTCATTATGGTTATTGTCCGGTTTTTCTCATAAATGATTTTTTTGTTGTTGAAGATTTATTTACCATTAATGCTACAATGTCAATTTTGTATAATGATTGAGTTACATATTTTTCTTCAATCTATTTACTGTAATTTTACATTCTTGTCCATTCAAATTACTTCACTATGCGTTTTGATTATTCATAGTGATTTTTTAATTTCACCTTAAACATTTTTAAATTCGAACACTGTTTAATATCATTATTCAATTTATTAAATTCAAATACTCCCTTTTGAATTATAGATTTACTAGTTATGCTACTATTACAATTTTGCAGATGAAAATCTATACTGTCACTAGTTTTGTAGTTATGATATACTACTTACTTTTGTGAAGTTTTTTAAATGTGGTGGTAATACATGATTTTTTAATTTGAATATGAAAACGAGAACTGAATAATATATGAAATTTTTCACATTCAACCACTGCAGTTCTTCTAACATAGTCTTAATTCTAGTATATTTGTTTTTATTTAAAATGATTCTCATAGCTTTATTTTGTAGAATTTGTAATTTTGAAAATATGTTTTCATTTGCTGTAAACAAGATGGTTGAACAATATAAGAAAGGGGAATTATAGTGTTATACACAATTTTTTTGGAATACATACTAAGATTATGGGAAACTCTATAGAAGTACTTTTTTTTATATTTTGGAAATAATGTATTCATAATGCTCGTGAAACAGCAGTTTACTATCCACATATATACCAAGATATTTAAATGATTCTACTACTTCCATTTTTTCATCATTAATTTTGTGCCTAATTGTATTGCCAACTAAATGATTTCCTATAGACATACATTTTGTTTTTTATTGTTTAATTCAAGTTTATTGACATTTAACCAATTCATAACTTTTTTAATATCACTATTTAATAGTTCTAAAGCAGTGTCCAAATGCTTATGTGCTATATATGTATATCAATGTATCGTCCGCAAATATTTGAATTTTGCAGTGTTCTAAAATGTCAGAAATATCATTTATATAAATAATAAATAGTAAGGGGCCCTAATTTACTCCCCTGTGGCATCCCTACTGATATATAATGAACACTTGACATAATATTTCCAACTTTGGTTTTTTGACTTCTATTTGCTAAATAATTTTGTAAAATGTTTAATACTGATCCTTTAAAGCCATAATCATGCAATTTCATTAACAATTTTTCCTATCTATAGTCTCAAATGCCCTTTTGAAGTCTAAAAATACTGTTACAATACATTCTTTCTCATCTATACTTCTTCTCCAGTCCTCCACCACCATTTGGATTGCTGTTTCTGTGGAACATTGTTTTCTAAATCCGTTTTGATTTTTTGTCAAATTTTTTTCTTTTCTTGTTATGACGTACAGGGGGTTTCAGAACTAAGGTATCAAACTTCTAAGGGTTATTCAGTGTAACAGTAGAAAACATTTGAGTATAGGGACCCTCCGGAAAAGTGGCACTGCGGGCCTAAGACCCCTTAAAATTTAGAAAGAGGATGAATTGCCTAAATAGGATTTAATGCATTTAATTTTTTCCTTTTGTACATGATATCATCACAACAATTGTTCAAAATGTCATCCTCCAACCTGAATACACCGATTTAAACGTCGCTCATGATTTCTGCGGACTTGACTAAAAATTTGATAGACGAGTTTAATGATTTCAAATGCTGCTGTAATTCGTCCAATTAAGTCTTGCTCTATTTCTACTGGAGTTTCGTAAACTAATGACTTTACATGTCCCCACAGGAAAAAAAATCTAGCGACGTTAAATCGGGTGATC